AAGTAGCAGGCGGAATGCCTACTTTCCCAACTATCCCTCAATTCCTCGTTATTTCCTTTTCCACAATAAAAGATAAACCCAAATTAGGCAGTTAAAATCCAAAAATTCCCTCAACCAATCTATCTGAATGATGTTCTGGCGTATTGAGAATGTCATTCAAAAATCATTCCACCCTAAAAGTCGTATTAAATAAAAGTGAGGCAAATACTAGATCAGGGACATCATATTCCGGTGGTTTTTCCGCATTCCCGCTTCCTCCCTACTTCATCACCAGAGTTTCCATCTTTCCAGTTCCACCGTTTAAGTCCCATTTCCTCCTCTTATATCCTTTGCCATTCATCTTCTGCCTCCAGTCTCATCTCGTTCAACATAGTCCTCACATACTTCCACCGCTCCATCTTCTCTGAGTCGGAGGCGCAGGCATCAAGAGCGGTAGACAATGGAATTAGGTCCCATGCACCAGCACGGATCTGGTTCATGTAAGGGAAAGTGAACTCCAGTTCCCCGTATAGATGGTGTGCAGGGTGGACAGTCTTCCATAATGACAATAATGATGGGGTGACGGCATTGAGTGTAGGTGGAGCAACTTGATTGGGGTCGAGCCTAACATGATCGCAAGGGATTCGAAGGAGTCCGAGTGTTCCCCGTTCGTAGCGAGGCGAACATCGATACGCGTAACAGCGCAGTATGGCGTGATCATCCAGGGTGTACTCCCATAACCCAGTGACGAATTGGTATGAGAACTTCTCGATGTTGACCGTGAAGATACGGAGATAACTTGTGCCCGGTGTCAATGCTTCGGTTGAATAGGGGATATGACGGATTGTGAGAGTGAAGGATGGAACTCCAGCAGGTTCGATTATGCGTGTTTCATCTACTGTGCCAGTAACATGATCAACAGCAGTGATGATGTGTGGGAGGCAGTATGCACGTGGACCGAACACGAGTGTACAGTCTTCTGGTTCTGGGCCATTCCATACAATGTCAGAATTCATCATGCCAATGTTTAAACAACATATCAGTCAAACACGTACCTAAGAAAGGCATGTTTGTAAAAATAGCAAAAGTTGTTTAGATAGCTCCTTGTGTGGAGAGGAAAAGAGTGCAGCAGCTGTATCCTGCCATTCTTAAATGATCAAGATGATACTTCTGCCTTTCCCGACGTAATGCTATGATACACCGATCCATCGGACAGAAGGTTATATTAAATTTGTTGACTGTCTTCTGGGCGTTGCAGTCATGCACTAATGATGTTCTGGGGTCCTGTCCTGTTACGACATAAATATCACCATGTATCACGATACGGTAAGTTCTATTACGTCCCCTCAAGTTTACGTCCTTTCCCTGGGAAGCTCGAGGAGAATAGATAGAGTCAAAATGTTCGAGTGGTGATTTTCTGTAGCTTCCTCCCCCTTCGTTCAGTTCACCAGTCAAAGCGTCAGAAAGCATTCCTTCTAAATGGCTGGTACGTCAAATTGTAATCGTGAATTTCCCTTGAATACTCACAATGTTTCAGAGAACATGTTACTCGTTCAAGGTTATCGTCCCGTCACGGGTGATGATGCCCGTCGCCTACCACACATTCAGAGTGCAATCGATCCGACCGAGGGCCTTGTCAATCCTAAACAGGTTGTCAGTCCAAAGTTCAACCCCACCTTCTCCCTGACCATTATAGAAGTCCCGTGGTCGACCATAAAGACCTTCCCGGGCATCATCGCCTATCGTACATTCACAGTCAAACTTCAACGCCATCACTTCGTCTTTGCTGTAGGAGACTGGGAGGAAACTGTCGGTAACAGTGCCATCGTCCAGTGTTTCTCGTACACAGAGAGCAAAAACTCGGACGTCCATGATCTCTTTCCATTCGGCGAACAAGGACTTCTACGTATTCCGAAGAAATACATTGAACGACTCACCCCCTTGGCCGTTCCCTCGCCCAAGTTCCGCACAACCGATCAACTTCAGGAGCTGTGGGATGCGATCTCGTACTATCGACGCTGGGACGTCCTCCTGACATTTCCTACATGTTATACGCACGAGATGGGAGGAAGCTGGTCCGTGACTCCGACACCGATTTTCACCTCCGAAAGAGTGGCGGAGGCCAAGATGAGGGTGTACACGGTCGGTATGGTCGGTCATGGGATGTATAGCGATGGTGAAGACTGGAGGGTACGTTACGTCGAAGGAGGGTGGAGAATTGAGACACAGGTTCAGGTTGCCGAGAGAGAGCGGCTCAAGATTGACTCAGGCAGGGGCCAATCCGAGCGGGAGAGCGATAATGCATCAGCGAAAGCGGAGAATTCGCCTCTTATGCCCCGACAGCAGGTAGATCACGAAGTCATGGAGTCCATGAAGGAGCAAACCCCGCGATCATCGTGGTTCGACGGTGATGATGCGGATGAAGGCCAAGTGAGCTGTCTGTCATGGCTGTCATCGCTTTGGGGTTGTTGAGGATGCGGGTTAGTGTCGTGCATCTCATCTACCATAAGTGGTGCACCTACTAAACTCATTCGGTTACAGACGGACTCCTATTTTTTTTGCTTCTGCAACTGAGTTACTAGTGGGTCTCCTTTTTCGGCCTTGCGTTCCATAGAAATCCACTCATGCTTCGCTCTTTCTGACATCCGCGGGCGAATCTATCCAATTTATCTCAACTCTGAAAGAGGGTAGGTACCTTGATTTCGTCTAGTCAGGGCATTTACTCACTTGAGACGTGCAATCTGTTATCGGTATCATGCTCGTGGCACAGTGCGAACTTGACTTGAGTCGAGATGGCCGATGACCGTACTCCAACTACGCATCCTCCCGAGAAACTGGAGGCGGGCCGATCCGGAAGTCCTCGTGTGATCTGTTTCCCCCCCAGTCCAATTCGTCTCGTTCCGACTGTTCTCGTTGTTCTGTATGATCTGTTTTCCCCTCCTTCCTGTTTTTTTCTGTCTCTTGACCACACCACATATACTGCGGTTTTGTTTCTCTACTTGTGTTTCTCTTTCACTTTGCTCTTCTTTTGCAACGTGCACTACAATTTCAGATCGGACACCGGACAGTTCTCGTTTTCGTTAGTTAGAGACTTTTTTTGGTGTGGCGTTTTACATGGGTGACGTATTGTGCTGCGGCGCGGGTTTTGATTCGCTTTGTACAGATCAGGAAGTATAGCATTCTTGTTTGGGCCACTGTCGGTGAAACCTTTACTGCGAAGCAAGTATGACACGGCATGTCCTCTATGACCTTCGACGTCAATAGCGAAATGTTCCACTTTATCCGTCGGCATCGATCACCCCAGCGAAGTTTCCACGACGTAGTACAACGATCGAAGAATGCGTCATATTCGAAGGGACAATATATTCCACCTCATCCATGCACCAACAGATCATCGCCGTGTCCCACTTCACTCACAGGAGAACAAAGTAACTTAGAAATGAAAGAACTTCAAAAGCGAGAGACAATGTATATGAAATGAAACATCGAAATTGATCATCATTGGGAAGGGTGAGTAAACAGAGGTGAGCACGGACTGGGAGTTCAAATCGAGAAGGAAGGAGGAAGGATGCGACGACATGTACCGGAGATATACCCCGGGGCATAAAAGGACGTCACAAATTACTGCCGCGCACAGTAAAACGAGAAGAAGCAACAATGGAAGAAGGAACCTTATTACGAGGCATGGGAGTGGGGAACCTATCTTCCGTGTCCGCTTCCGTCTTTGAAACCGGTGAAGAATAGTACTGGACGCACGCCGACAAGTCGGAAATAGAGAGTAGTCGAATGAGTCTCATGGCTTCCCAAATACAAAGGGATGCTTACAAGATCGGGAGAGACCTGGGAGGATACCGCACTTGTCGTTGCCGTGAAATCCGGGAACGATGGAATGTTCGAGGGTGACATTGTTGCAAAATTGCCGTATGTCATCACTGGGACCGGTGCATGGAGAACTCCAGGGTTTTTGGGAGACAGTGGAATGCCAACCGCTTCAGACATGGCAAGGGAGGGAGTCGAAGATATGGTCGCGGTCGAAACCGAGGAAGACGACGTATTGGCAGATGCATGGTATGAATCGGGTGAGCTGATTGCTTCTATGGTGGAAGATGATGCGGATCCGGAAGGTATCATCCCATTGGAAGTGCGTGGAAGGACCGTAGATCGACTATCTAAGTCTTGGTCGGATACAACTGCTGTGACTTCATGGACCATCGAAGACATGTCACCGACGTCCGCATCGAAGTGAGTGGTCGAAGCGGGTATATCGGCAACCAGTTTCCGTCGTTTAACGTCGTATAAACGAGTAGGAGGAGATCGATACGAATACGGGAAGACGATGCGAACCAAGTCTTGTGGGATACCCTTGATCCATATCTCCAAGTCCGCCCTTGACATCCATCCAAATACTGCCTCGTTAACCTGCCCGCCCTCAAATGACCTTCTCAACATCCACCGAGGAGCTCGGAGAAGTCCAACCAGATACTTGGCTCCGGATAAACACGTAACGAGCAGGACGACGTCGTCTTCTGTTTCGGCGAGTAGAGCACCGACGTTAACTTGATGAACTGAGTTGATACAGGGGAACGGGTCGCGTGTGATAATCAAATCACGAGTTGGGTATACGCCAGGTAGTTTGAAGGACACATCAGAGTCGACCCAACCAATGTCGAAGACATATTTATAAGGATACAAATGAGTGAGGTATCGTGGACTCCAAAATGGCCAGTCATCTTGTTGTTGGTCGTACGATAGAGCGCCAACGACAAGCTGCGACTCGGTGACTATGATACCTTGTCAGCTATACCACGTCAGAACGATGAATATGACACTGACCAGCCTCCATCCGAGAGGAATGTAGTCTCTCTGGAGCGTATGTTTCTCAGAGTGAAAGAGAGATAAGATGGCGAAGCAGGGTGACCTAAGTCGAAGTTTGAGACCTTGAGATGGCGCGGTCTTCTCAACGCAATTGAGCGAATAGTGACCGCTATGAAGCAGGCAGACGTGAGGATCAAGGACACCCAGATAAAAACAAGAGGGTTCCTCGTTGAACGCAGGTGCAGAGGTTATGACACGAACCACGATTCCTTTAGGTTGCCGTTATATACGCATGAGCGCTGGGGTCCTACCAATCTCCGTATAGTTGGCGCATCACATGAGGTGCAAGAATCTCGCCATACCCGATCAAGACAACAGCACGGCAAGTGAGACGTGAGACGATCTGAGGTCTTCCCCTGACGGCCGTTGACTGTGAAACCTATGCTAAGAAGAACGTCAAAAAAAGCAAAGAAATGAAAGAAAAACAACACACCTTTTTTTTGTCTCTGCGTTTCTTTTAGGTTTGTTCCCTTTCGCGCCGCATTGCCATCGGAGACTTGATCAGTGTGCTCGGTTACTCACCGTCTGACCACGACTTTGACCACGGCGGTTCCCGGTCAGATGCCGACATCGGTTTGTAACTGGCGCAGGAAGAAGATCTGGTGTGAATGTCCCTCTTGGGGATGTTGTTGATAAACCTTCCAAAACGGTTCGGTTTCGACTGACATATGTTTTCAGGGCGAAAAGGAAACTTCAACCGAACAAATTACCGGAATAATTTGTTGTAACTGAAGATTTCAATCGTTAATTGTATCAGATTCGAGATATCCTGTAAGCAATTGAAAGTACCTTATTCGTTCGTGACTAGGGGCCGTCGTGGTCTGTTCGTTGTCCATAATCAATCAGCAACGGTAGTAGTGACTGACGATGAGTCATCAGCACAGAAGAAGATGTCCGTGAAGTCGTGGGTAGAGTCAAGCAGCAAATCGTACAACACTGAAGAAACGGACAGTCAATGAGAGTATCAACTAGCGCAAGAGAAAAACAAACACGTACATTCCATCGTAGGAAATGTTCCTGCGGAACTGTGGGTCAAGTGTACAGAATGCGGTGGTGCGGGTATATCCGAGTCCATAGATCAAGATCCATGCAGGGAAACGAAGAGCCACAGAGGGAGTTGAAATCACCGTTAATCAACTTGAAGGTGTATTCAATAAGATACTGCCGTTGATGATGAGCTTGAAAGCTCAGCTCCGAAAGGCACGATAGATAGGAAACCTCGCAAAGACGAACCGTACGACCAGCCAAGCCGGTAGTGTGAGCGACGCGTGAGGAGAGTATACGGCCGAACAGAATAGCAGCGACCGTGAGAACGTGAGGCCGACACTCGTAAGAAGATGAGAGGCTACTCGGAAGTGGAACATATTGAGCCGCTGTAGTTCCTGTTATGCATCGCAGATGTATCATATACGAACGTCGTACACTGACGGATTGTCGGTACAAAGAACTCCCAAAACACAAGGATACGGTGATGAGAAGCCCAGTAAAACCCCTGTCGAGAAGGGGAGGAAGCGATGAGGTTCTGTGTATGGAAATAATAAGTAAGCTTCAACCGCAACAGCAGATTCCGAATTTCTTCCACGAAGCAGCCGAAAACAGGCAGTCGTCATTGTCAACGAGACGGACTGAAAGTCAGTGCCCCAGTAGACGGTGTGACGACGAAAGCTACACTCTGTACGGCACATTGCTCTATCATGGCTAGAGAAAGATAATGACAATCCTAGAACCTAGAAGTCTTGCAACTCTCAAGGTACAGATTGGCCTCTTGGGGCGACAGAATGACAGAAGACCAAGAAGCACGCTGCTACGCTACGCAAAGCCGACAGTATGCAAACTCTCAGGGTGCGGAAGTGGATGGACAAGACCTCCACCAAGAGTGAAACAGCATGTATGTCTTTAGCGAGCAGACAAAACCAAGTGGAGCTGAATACCCATGACCTGTATAGAATGAAGCAAGAATGAAGCTCGATGTACGTTGGTGAAGAACGAGAAAAACCGGAAAGAGCGGATACGTGGCGCTCCCGGAAGATTCCGATCACTGTTCAATATTATAAACTACAACCCGAGGACAGGGCACATTGCAAATACATCGAAGAACAACGCTGCGAAAGCGATAAATAAAACCGAGACAGAATCACTGGTCGGACCTTAAGTACAGTTTAGTGGTGGTAGTAATAACACGTCTCGTCCTCCGTTAAGCTACCGAGGACGGAAATAGATATGGCTCATGAACATCCTAAGGACCTGCCTTCATCAATACGTTATACGATCAAAAGCGTCGGAGCTATGTTATCACCAAATTCACCGTGACTCAAAACTCTTCGTCAGACTCCTGAGGGTGAGGTGTAGTCTCCTCAGCAGCCACTCTCTCGACGATACCCCAAGGATCTTCATCTACGTCAAAGTCCGAAGCATCTCGAAGTCGGTCACCGACTAAGACAACCTCCTGGATGTTGAGCGATAGAGACTTCTCGATATTGGCCTCCGCATTATCCGGGATACGCTCTGGACGAGGTTGATACGACCTGACAGTAAAAAATACGACGACAGGAGCGTTCATTTCGATCTCGCCTTCGTACACCGGAAGCTTGGTGTAATCCGAGAACGAAAATTTAGACTCTCTGCCGTCATAAATTTTCACTGCCACTAAAGTCAAAGAACGAATAAAACATGATGTATAATATGTACTTACCGTCTTCGCCCGGCGGAAGAAATGGTCTACGAGCAGGTTTTTTGAACGTAGATTTCATTTTGCGTGTCCCAGAATTCATCGGTTTCTTCGACTCTTTCTTACTTGTCTCGGTTTTTGACTTGTCATCCTTTTCTTCACTATCTTTCGTCGGTTCTGCAGCATCGCTATCGTGATTAGTCAATCATAGTCATTGAATGAATTCTCATACCTTTGTACACCATTGTCGAAAAGGTAACACCCCCGTGGAATGTTGGCACATATAGAGCCTCTACGCCTATCGTATCTCCCAAGAAAGCCATAGCGTGATGATAAGTCTCCCACATAAGTTTGACACAAAGCTGTCTATTGCCCTGTGCTCTTCCTGTTCGCAACGAGGACAATGTGACAGTGCCCAAAAGATAGAAATTGGCTACTCTCTGTGGGTTGAGGCGACGAATGTACGAGTTTGAGTGAACGAAGTCAGCAGGGTTCGCTAGGCCAATGTTTTCGGCGTCGATGTTACCACGCGCAGCACATAAAACGTATAGACGTCTAAATAGAGTAGGCAGCCAAAATCATTTTATAAGTAAAAAGGACTGAACACGACAGAAAGAAGCTGGAGGAGGACAATACCTTATCAGATTAACGTCCTTGAATTCATTGCGAATGTCCACGAGAGGCACTGGCATGGCATCCTTGTTCTGCCCGAGGTTCGTGCAAGTATAAACTTCCCTGAAATGGCTAACAGTCAAAGCACGTAGAACTCCCATGATTTGTAGAACGGCTCACACTAAAGGTCGCGCACGATTCACAACCGCATGTCTATGAAGAAGGAAATGTCATTGCGAGCGCATTGTCAGGAGGATGTTCACTCACAAATGTTCTCGAAGTACATCGACATCATTTACGGTTTGAAGTTGTTCCTTGTCAAGGAGTTTTGGGGCGGCAGATCCGTCCTCCGACTCGGGTTCTTCGTCTCGTGGAGGTGCATCCGTTGCATCGTTTGTAACCTTCTACATTGGATGAATTTACCAGAATCAGCCTTACGAGAGAAAAACGAAGAAGACAATAGGAAAAGAAAAGAAAGAAAGACACGACCTTTTCGAGTGTTACTTCCTGACTATCGGTGTTACTCGAGGACGGCGCAGTAGCTTGCATGATCGTCTCAGAAGTGTCATCAGTAGTTGTCTTATTGGGAGAACGTGTCGATGCTCTGTTCGAAGATCAGCATCACGGCGCGAGTACTACGCTAACAAAAATGGTTACCCGGCACTTCGAGCAACATCAGCCCCATCATTGGATTTCACGCTGCAGGTCTCCCGTGACTTTAGTATACTGAGGCGTCGAACAATAACGTACTTTGGTCCGCTCTTAGAATTCGCCGGGGGTTTTGGTTCCTCGTCCAGCGTTTCCGTATCACTATTACTAGGATCCCGAGACTCAGTCTTTCCTCTACCAATCGAGTTAGGCACGAGACCGTAAACATATGAATACGAACATACGGCTTTTGCTTGCGGTTGTGCGCTCTGCGCTTTGAGTACGGAGCAGGCAATTCGGGCGAAGAGGAACGCTTTGGAGTTGTAATCTTGGCCATTGTGAGGTGCGAAAATGAGCTATCTGTGTGTTTGCGCTGCCTGACTTTTATAAGTGTCACGATCACGGCGCGAGCACCTTTTGAGATATCAGAGGAGGGAAAGTATAAGATGAGATCGGTGACACTCCACACCAATCAATAGCAAGTTTAGCCGATCAAACAAATTATAAGGTCTACGCGTCATTTACGCAGCATATAGTGCTAACCATTTTTGCTTCATTCTTCTCGCAGTACGCGATCTCCACTTACATGGCATTATTCCTCAATAAGTTACGCTGTAGGTCGAGGAAGAGAATTGCAGAAGCTCCAAGGCTGAATGGAAGCCAGTTAGTGCACCCATCAAATAGCTATGATCAAAAAGAATATAGATGATGAGATGGTGATTGATGAATCGTCATTTCTGCACAGGATGTTCAACGCCTCTCCAAGGGGTTTAACAACCGAGATGAAGCAGTTGAGAACAAAAGAACCAACCGGACGTCTATAAAAAGCCATCGGCAGTGCAGGAATTCAGGTTGATTTTCATATATCAGACAAGTACTGGAATTGTACCTTATTGAACCTTCCGTATCAAACATAGACTAACTACCTTCGGATACGTAGGTCATCTCAGATTAAACCTTGTATGTTACCATAATTGGCCAAGCCTCATTCTGTCTGATCGACCGTGTAACGTTCAATTCATACAGGGACCGTCAACATTTTTGTGTTAGATAGGTACGTCCTACTCGCATCGCACACTGTGTGGCGACCTCTACAGGTATTTTATCGTGAAACGAACCGAGCGATACAGCAGCTCGGAGTGGCACCAGTGCAGGTCAGAACTGCCAAAATACCTGGCAAAAGTCTGAGACGGTTGTGACTTGTTCTAGTGGTCAAGCGTAATGCACAAATCCGTACCAATCCAGTCCTCTTCCTGCCGTATTATATATATTATTTACCTCCTAACTCTAGCTTACATTTCGAACTCCATTGAGGATCTACCTCTAATGCGTTCATCGATAGATAAGTACAAAATTTTCGGTGGCCTCAAGCAATAAATAAGAAAGGATACACCGTCTCCCGTCTGCCATAGTTATCGCATTACATGCTGCAGAGGCAGCATTGATTGACTTCTGACGAGCAAGATGAGTCACATCGAACTATGTTAAATCAAATGACGTTGGAGACAAACCTTGGCCAGAAAATACCTATCGAACAATGAGTTTCACCTCCTGCTTGGTGCTCGCCCTGCACATACCACACTGTCCTCCGCCATATCTCCACTGAGGAGTGAGTGTGTCTACCGCGTTTCCTTCGGCCAAGCTCTCGTCGAAAACGATTTGGAGACACCACTTGTCCCCGAAAGAGCGATTCATATGCGGACAGTATGGGTTGGCGGCACAGTTGTTCTTTATGCGAGGGTAGGAGTCGACAACCGTCTCCATGTTGGATAGGAACGAAGAGATGGTAAAACCACGGAACTTGTATTTTTGTTCCAGCTCGTCAGTAGCTGCTTCTTCGTTACGGCAGCCACGTCCGTGCAATGCGTGCGCAGGGAAAGGAATGCAAATGGAGTCCGCAGAAATGTAGTTGGGAAGAAGGGTGCACCAGAAGTACGCCAAGGGGTGAATAGAGGATGAGGTTGCACTCTCTATCACATCGATCCTTTTGTTACTCCCGGTCTTCGTTAGCTTCGTCACGGAGGCGATGCAGGATTTTACGGTCCCGTAATGTGCAGACCTTCCGGAGTTGGTAGTATAAGTGGACGATGTCTCGAATCCTTCATGGTCGCAGAGATATTTGATGACATGGGAACCTTTCCCAGATGGTGTGTATACGTCGCAGTCATTTGGAGTCCAGTGTTTTGGACCTGGTAAGACGAAGTGGAGGGCAGAAGACCCGGATATGACAGAACGAGTACGCCTGAGGATAACGCGGAAGAGGTGCGGCTGCTTCACGTATCTCCTGAGATGACGATGCCATCGTGACTGGAGGTACTCATCGACGATGTCCTTCGTTACCGGAGAAATTTTGGACATTAGGATGATGTCCTTGATAGACATACAATCTAGGATAGCATAGTGGGATTCGTTGACCGGAAGTCCAGCTAATATCAACGATTGAGAGACTTCTAAGGAACAAATGAGCATGAAGTCGACGCTGAGAGGGTTGATCTTACCAGACATGACGGACGAGGAACCCGGCATTTATTCATCGTACAACGGCGCTTTATGTACTCCTCAAGCAAATACCGATCGGAAAGTAAACATACATCATCGAAAATAAAGAAATAAACCAGGCATCATAAGCTAATATATATCAGGTCAAGTCGAGGAACAAAGTGGTGCACCGCATACGTCAGAAGCGAGCAATGTCCGTCTGATCCAAGTCTTTAGGCACAATCAGATTAGAAGTCTTCTTCAATAGTACTAGAAGAGAAGCTGTGAGTAGCATGCATTGGCCATATCTTAGGTAGGGACGAACAAAGCATGATCACTGGTAGCATTGGATGCCACGGAAAACTTGGCATAGTCCGAGACGCGCTTCTCAAAGAAGTTGGTCTTCCCCTCGAGCGAAATTATGTCCATGAAGTCGAAGGGATTGCCGACACTGTATATCTTGTCGTATCCCAATGCCTGGAGCAAACGATCCGCGATGAACTCAATGTATTTGCACATATTTTCGGCGTTCATTCCAATGAGTTTGACCGGTAGGGCATCTAGTAAAAAGACAAGAATAAAGCCATCAGCGCCTGCAAGGCAAGACATTTGAACAGCAACTACTCACCGGTCACAAAACGTTGCTCGATCAAGACCGCTTCCCGAAATATCTGTACCACGACAGCGGGAAGCGGCTTGTTCTGGATATACCCGAATAGCATGCATGCGAAGTCCGTGTGGAGGCCTTCATCTCTGCTAATCAACTCGTTTGAGAAGGTCAACCCAGGCATTAGACCCCTCTTCTTGAGCCAAAAAATCGAAGCAAAGGACCCTGAGAAGAATACCCCTTCAACCACAGCGAAGGCAATCAAGCGTATAGGGAACGAAGCTTCGGCATCAGCAATCCACTTCACCGCCCAAGTAGCCTTCTCCTTGACGCAAGGTATACTCTCCATGGCGTTGAACAACCTCTCTCTTTCCCCCATATCCTTGATCAAGACGTCGATTAGCATGGCGTAGGTCTCGGAGTGGATCGTCTCCATCATCGCTTGGGACGCGTAAAATGCTCTGGCCTCCGCGAGTTGAACCTCCGATGCGAATCGACTGACAAGGTTCTCAACAACTATACCATCGGAGGCGGCAAAAAAAGCTAGGACGTGCGAAATAAAGTGTCTTTCATTCGCTGTCAAAGCCTCGGTCCATTGACGAATGTCGTGCACCATGTTGATCTCTGAGGTGGTCCAAAAGGATGCTAGTGCACGTTGATACATGTCCCAAAGCTTAAGAGGTCGGAAAGCGTGTCAACAAGTGATACAAAAGAGATGTAATTCACTTACGTCCGGATAGACGATCGGGAACAATACGAACCTGCCAGGGTTCGGTGTTAAGACAATTTCCTCTGGGCAAAAAAAAAGGTCAGACCACATAACACTTCGAGGGGCATCAACGCACGAGTAATCGATGAGGACGCCATAGCCATTATTGTGGAATGTGTGATTAGACGCCACTTAAATATAGGAGAAATCTCGTCATGAGGTCATACCGGTACTAAGCCACAGAGATGAGCATCAGTTCAATGCGATGCACCTTCCATGCTCGAATTAATGGCTTATGGATCTGATAAAACCTTACGAGTCTCGTGGCCGATATCGATGCTGAGCTGAATAGGCGACAAATTGGGCTAGTGACGGATCAAAAGTCTGATGAGCCACAAATCGTTGTTCCTGGTACTGAGGATACTTCGACTTATCGTAATTTCAGATGGTGAATTCGAAACATATACGCTAGGATGCTCGTCAAATGATCTAGCTCGTTAGACGGTCACGATCTTAAGCGAAGAAGATATAACAAAATGACTGACCCATAAGGCTAGGAAGATATGGACCATTATTGCCCATCATTCAGTCCAAAGTAGACCTACCTTGAGATATGATTATAAAAGGGCCAACTGCAAAGACAAAAATACCTTGCGCCATGGACAACCACGCACCTCCAGACGCGTTCCTTCCGGTCATCTTAACATCTAAGCAGGCCATTGAAGACATATCTACTGTGTACTCCTGCTTAGAACGATTCCCTCCTTCGAACACGGAGTATCTTCCGAACTTTCGAGACCTAGACTTGATCCATGACAAAATATCAGTGTTACATGGGAGCGACAGCGACTTTCTCGTGTACAATGATGCTCACGAGAGAGCCCACACGGAGGTCACCTTTGCCTTAGCGGGTTACATATCCGCTTTCGATTTACCAGGACGCGGAGTATTTCAACGGTGCGTAATCTGTTTTTTTTTCGCCCTTCTTCTTCGTTAAGAACTTGGCTCTGATTGTCTTCACAGAGAGTTGCATAAACCTCATACCTTGAAACAACGTGTCACGATTGTAGCACCAGAGTCATCTGGATTCGACCTCTCGATGGACGCATTGACATCGCTCGGTTCATATCTCGAGCAATTCTCAACCGAGGGTCCTAACTTACACTTCAAGCCAAGGAAAGTACTCAATCTGAGCGCCCTGGAGGCACGTTGCAACCTCTTTAGTCGTCAAGAAGAAAGCGTCAACCATCCACTGTGCAACCTACCGACGTACATGGATCCCAAGGGAAAGTTGGCGGCTCAAATCCGAAGACGGTCATATTGTCACACGACGGACAACGTCGTGCAGTATGCAGAGTCGGATAGACCTGTAACAAAGGAGTAAGCAATACCTTCAGGTATACAAAGAACAGCTCTCACTCGAAGAAAAAAGGGAGGGCGATAACTTCTTGCACAAGAGTTTCGCCGTAGAATCCGGAGTATTCAGGCACGGCCAACTTGTTGTCCTAAACGTCGTCGTTCGACTGGTCAAGGCGAATACGAGCAGACAGTTCTCTCGGATGGTCGAGATAGTCCTTCGAAAGCTAGTGTTAGTAGGAAGGACACAAGAACTGGTAAGAATAACCAATGAGATCTTTCGAAGGAGGCAGTACTGACTCGTTTTGTCCATTTAGTCCTTGATGAAGCTCCGTCAGGCCGAGAAAAGACGGGCGGCATCGATGACAGTAGTCGGAGACACCATTACCTCGTCCAAGGGGCCATTAAAAAGGGTCGTCGAGCAAATAGAGACGAAAGAAGAATATGCGAGGGCAAGACTTGCATCGATGAGAATGGATGAAGATGACGTGGGTTCCCGCTCATCCACTCCATATAGGTTTTCGAAACCCACGGCAGAGCCGCAGAGCTGTCTGTGATCGTCGCATAAAGTCGTATTCGAATCTCGAAGTAATATGAGCCACGGCAGGCCTGTGGCAGAATCGTACGATATCTGTAATAGGGGAGGTACGAGAGACGCTGACCTATGGCTGTGCACTATTTATATTATTTATGGATGGATTGTGGCGGGTGGCGGGTGGCGTACTAATTCCCCTTTATTTTATTTCGTCTGGTTGTTGAATATAGTGTATCATCTGGAGAGAATTGATAAACAGTAAAAAAAGGACGAACATGTACACATACAGAAAGACGACATACATCGAAGGCTGACCATAACCGAAAAGAGCATGGAAAGAAGAATATACGGAAGTAATGTGCGTCGACAAAAGTTTAAAAAGCAGGGGGGCGACAAAAGTAATCACCAATGTACAATATCATACAGCGCGGCCCGACATCTGATGTTAGTATCGACGCTTATAGTAAAGGAATTCGGGTCAAACAAACAGAGTCCTACAAGGACAGAGAGCACATCGTCACAAAACCCGCAATGAAGGGGTACAGTAGAATGAACCTTGAGTCTGGACGAAACAAAGTTCAGGTTATCCGTGCACCGTGGAGACACACGAGCGACATTCTCAGACTTCGATTTAGCAAACAGTTGTAGAACCAGGTTTTCGATCAAATCGAGCAACGAAGACGATGCTGCAAAGGTCCGTGCTGATGGTGATGGCACGCGGAAGAGTTGGATATGCGGAGGACTCCATGGGGTAGAATACGAGCCGACAACTTCGCTGTGACTCTACCTTCTTACTAAACCACAAAAGGCCTAAAGCGAAGGTGAAGAAAATTGCACTGGGGAATCTCAGTAAGCGTTGATCGGAAGGAAAACTTGCTTAGAGCACATCAGAACAACAAAAGTTCGAGCACTAACCGATCATACTCAAGCCCCACTGACATCTTGATGATGACAGATGATCTCGACAACAGGTTGTATCGAAAAAAGAAGACCCTAAACAAGGTTTATAGGGCTGTCAGCGCTCTTGTCATTCGGGTGAGAGTTTCGGCTATCAATACATCGCAGTGCCCAGAAGCCCGGACGATAGGACTAACCTAGGAAGATTACGGTTCCTCCGGTACCTTTCATCAGCCTTATACTATAACCAGTAGAGGACTCACTTTTTATTCATTCTTATGTTCAACCTTCGTACAGCCTCGAACACAGGAGCAGAATTTATCACTCCACAACATGCCTTGTGCTCAGCCATCACTAGTACGGCGAAGCGGAGCATGCATTATTTCCCATCAATCATAGTTACGCCAACCTCTATACCATACCTGGACCTATCCTTGTAATGCATCAGATCAAGTCTTCGTGCACAGTTTTAAAGGTCTGACCTGAGCTCTCTCAGGAGTGGATCTGTGTCTCAACTCTTCCAGTAGAACTGAGGAGAAAAAACGATATCTGCTTGTCCGCTGCATAATACCGGTAGATTCGTATATTACTCGAAGTGTCAGCAATCTCGAACCACTTGAGGTTTAAGACGGTAACTCACATTGTCTGGTTGCTCTTGTCAGCTTCCATATCCCTTCTCTGTCAACCGCGTCATGGATCAGAGACCAAGTGCCGAACAAGACTACGGGATTCCAGGATTCGGAGGTCTTGTCAGTATGTGTCCACATATGAATACTTGCTTTCTTTCGTTACCCTAATCCATCCTGGCTTGGCATCACAAGCAATCGCCATAGACCTGCTGGTTCGACTCTGGATTCCGATCAGTGCTGTAGATCCTTCCAAAGTACCACCCACCGAACCGTCTCATCATACGCAACCAGCTCAGCAGAGGCCCCCAGAATCTGTTCATAACGGTCATTTCAGTGGGGAACCATTGGTATATGAATCGCACAACGCACTCATGGCCCATCATGAGTATGCAATGCGACATCTGGTAACCACACTCGCCCAATTAACGGCACCATCTCAGTGCGTTCTCGCCACTGCTCTTTGCTACCTTCGTGGCCTACGAGAAACGATCATCCACGAGCGCGTCCAAGAGTACCTTGAAATAAAGACGAAGGTCGAGGCGTTCGAAGGAGCGAACCGTGATGGCGAAGTTGATAAGCGCGAGATGAGTGAACAAGGCGAAGAGGTGGCTGTAGATGAAAATGAATACAAGACGGACACACTTTCGGGATACCGCGGACGCGATGAATCTGCGACACCTCGCACAAAGAACAGCATCTCGACAAATCACACATCCAATGAGCCTTCCACCCGCACGACACGTGTCCCACTTGGCCCACTCATCATACCCAGATGTCAAGGAGTCCGCAGACGTATCTTTTTATGTCCTTATCGAACTTTCGTGGCGACTTTGATGGTCGCTTGGAAATTCGTAGAGGACCACAATTACCACAATAGAGCGTGGGCAGAAATTACTGGGTTCTCGCTCCAGGAGATAATGGAGAACGAAATGACTGTGATGGAAACCCTCGATTGGAGACTTTGGGTCGGCAAACCACACGCTACCTCCGTCCCACCTCCGAATCGGTCCATTGACATCGAAGGCCCTTCTACATCCAGTAATAGGAACTCCTCGGATGTTCCGTCATTTTCCAACTCGAACCAGGAGTTCAAAGAGGATGCATCGAACATCCGCTGATCAACTTACCCGATCGTCGGCGAGAATGTGGAAAGAAGGTATCTCAGATGTAGGTGTTTGCGAAGACCTGTACCTGCGTAAAATGCTCATCGTGTTCCGTAGAACCCCCGACTAAAAGTGAAGTCAAAGAAATCAGTCTACGTATTTTTCAAGCTCATATGCAGTCAGATATGTACGATATACGTATTGGAGGCAATAATTGACAAGGTGTATGTACTCACTTAGGGTGTATGTACCATTACGATGTAAAAATCCTAGTATATAACCATATTTATCGTGGGGCGAAATTAGTCAATGGAAAGCGGAAGAGGGTCAACTTTCTCATTTACGAACTAGTTGTCACCGTTCTTTACTAGACGGACCGTTAGTAATCATCACAGAAGTTCGGATGAGACAATCAGAAGACATACTGATCACAGGGATACGTGAGCGAAACATACTATGCTGACGATGAAGGCGTACGGAGAAGGAGGAGAGCGAAAGGAATCAGCGGTCGGAATGAAATAAAGAAATCTCTGGAATAACCGAATGCTGAACTTACTTCGATCATGAGCAGGAGCACGAAAAATGGACCGTAAGAAAAGAAGAGAGAATGACTGACCGGCGCAGTGTTATCATAGCTCCTCAGATCCTCACACCAACACGACGTTCTGAGGGTGTTGAAGTGTGCGTTGCGTTGCTCACCAATAGCCTATAAACATATCTCTGGTACGGTATAATGCCTTCCAGCGATCGTGCCAGAAAGAACTATCAACGTCACATAGAACTTTACGAAGGTCTGCAACGGGCTTATGACCTTAGTATGAGCTATGGCGACTGGACGTAGGTTTGGACGACGCAACGTACGACCTCTCTTCCCCGAGATTCGTCATTTCCCGGATCCGATATTTCCCGAGTAAGACAAGTACAAATACTTACCGAGAATCCTAGACAGGATGGTCAATGGTTTTGAAGAGACGAGAGAGAGAGAGAGAGAGAGAGAGATTTCCAGCAGCCAACGACATCTCAGTAAGCTGTGTTTTCGGATTCCGGCTTCGGCGAGACCCGGAGCTATGCTCGCCACCCTTCTGAAAGGTGGCGGCGCGACAGAGATAAGGGATTGATAATCTTTCGTGTACGAAACTGTAAAGGAAACGAACACGAAGCAAGTAGACATTGCCGGAAGCACAAGAGGATGGGCCAGGAAAGCGAGTCAAGAAACAGGATCAAGATGCATATAGCGAGCCATAAGACGTCGGGAAATCACGAACATACGAAAACGGCAATGCGGACACAAAAAGAAAAAAGAGGCAAACGAGCGTGGTACGTGGATCGGGATGCGAAGGTAGGAGGAAAAAGAATATGATATGAGTTGTCGCAGAGATAAAGGAGATGGGGTGACTTGAAATGTAAGTATTCGAAGTCCGAGGAGGAGCTCACCCGGCTGAGGATTATCGATCGACAAATGTGGGAGCTGTAGCCCCTAGCCCCTGCCTCCTCTTTCTCCGTCCTCACATCCTATTCCAATCGATCTCAAAAAACGATGGTACGTGCGCTCCATGTACTTTGCTTGGCACGTCTCTGCCACCAGCCGTGCGAGTCGGACGGCACGATGGGCAAGTTTACGCTCCTCCCGTGATTCCTCTATGAGTCGATGCCTCCTTTCCCCGTCATCCTCTGTCACCCACCCCCTCCGTCGCTGTTCTGCGCGCACGTACTCGGCCTCCATTTCTGTTGTAAAGACTGCCGTAGGGGGGTAGTACTGATACCAAGTGGTAATATCGCGCTGGTAACCAGGTGGATAAGCGAGGGTGAGGCGCAAATGGCGTTCGTTGGGAATACTTTGCCAGATCTCGTTCATTTGGTACGCAAAAAACGGAGTTTCGGGGACGCCTGCTTTGTCGAAGCGAGGGTGGAGGAGGGCGGGATCCACCTTCATGATGCCATATGGGCAGTTCCGGTGGTCGTATGCGCTGTCACAGACCCCATCGCATGCCCAGCAAGGGAACATGAAATGTCCCCGTACCTGTCCTAAACACTCACCCACCACAACCCGTCGCAGTTGATCTAACCCATCCTCTCCCCATATTTCACATTTCCCCAAAATTCCTAGCCGAGGTGCAGGTCGAGGCTGGCGTTGCGTTGCGGTGATGGTGATGGAATAGAAGGGTGGGTTGGTTTTGTAGGCTTTAGGAAGATGGTCTGTCCCCAGTGTAATAGAGAGGTAGCCTTCTTGCACAAGGACTGCGATACAAAGGTAAATGGTGAACCTTGGTGTACTCGACGCTGAACTCATGCAAAAAAACTTACACCGGTCTAGATAAGCGTTATTCACTCTCCAATTCGGAGATACCACCGGAAAGATGGCATGTTTTCCTCCTGGACCATACATATGAGTCGAAAGGAGAGGACTATTTGTTGAAATGATTGGGGCGCTCATGAAGTGGATGTAACATAAATTTTCTTTTTTTTTCTGTGGAGGAGGAAAGCGAGTGAACGTGTGAGGCAGCTTTGAATGATGGGAAGGGTTTATATCCTGGCAACAGGAGGTAGTTACGTTCTTTCCATGATCACGGCTAGATTTACAGGGGGGAGAACGTAAGCATACCTTTCCTTTTGGCGATACACGGACAGGTATTTATCTTGTGTGGATCTGGTACATATCGTCATAACTGAATGGAACTTTATATGCATATGTCATCCGGATCTGGATGAAGCGAACTGTGGCATCCGGATGGCCCATTAAACCCATTGTAAAAGGTGCCAGAGGATGAGAGACTGGCCTACCACCTGATATATCTATACAGGTGCATATGTTTTCCAAAACGAAAGTGGATCACTTCCCATAGAGAAAAAAAAATACGTCTATTTGGGATTGATTCAACATGATTGGTGCTCGGCAACCGTCGGAAATGAAGATCGCAGCTCAATGATTGGCTGCCGTTGGCTACCATTTTCATCTCCAAGCATTGCCGAGTGGTGATGTAGTCAAATAAATATATCACTTTGTCTACAGGAAGTCATCGAGTTGAAGACGAGATCTGTGAAAAAACCACATGTGAAACGAGAACCATATTCACGAGAGGCAGAACCAAAAGAAAATAAACATGCGGATACTTACCCCTAACCCAAGGCTATGGTTTAGAGGAGCCATCCCAAAGGGTACAACGCACGCTGTGGAAACACCGGGAGTGCAACGAGCTAACTGACGCAGTGTCTGAGTAACACACCAGCAGGTGCAGAGAGACCAACGAGCATGTCAATGCCAAGACCCGCAAAAAGCGAAGAGTCTGCCAGGAGAGCAGGAGAAGTCAGCAGCGACATCCAATGACTTCGTCGCGGCGGCCATGAACATCGTCCTCGGATGTGAACTCTTGGGCTTCCTTGATCACGCGCTCGATTTCGTCCTTGGATGGATGGCCAATCTCGAAGACTCCGGACAACGTAGGCTACTTGTTGGCGAATGACTCCTTGAAGAGCTGCTGTACGTTCGAAATACCAGTCGCACCACCAACAAGAACGACTAAGCGAAGCAAAAGATCAGCCGCTGAAATGTTGAACGTGTTGGTGTAAAGAACGAACGACATCCACATCCACCTTCTTGGCACTGGCATCCTTAAGGACCTGCTCGACGGGCATGATTTAGGACTCACTATCCTGTTTCTCGAGACCGTAGGCGAAGGCTGCAGCGGTGACGACGGTGTTGGTGACTTTCTTCCGGAGATATCTCCCGGGGGTATAAAGTCACTTAACAAATGGGCTTAGCAACCACGCCAGAAAGATAGGATAGGTAAGTCATGGATAAAGCGTACGAAGTCGTGAGGAACCCTGGTATTGGACTGAACCGGCGGCTTCCCATCCTTTCCAATGACATCGAAAGGCCAGTGCTCGATGTCTCGGTTGAGGCTTGTCCATTTTGCGATCAATGAGACGCTTAGCGTCGAACACCGTGTTTTATGTGTTTGAGTGGAATTCGTTCTTCGCCGAGTCACTAATCCTACTGACGAAGCATCTCATCAGAGTATGAAATACCGAGAGTTCTGAACAGAAATATCCTTACCATTGATCATCGTAAGTGAAATAGCAGGATGATGGCGACATCGGGTGACCTTGGTCGTTGGCGATAGGAACAGCCGTCAAGACCAGTCTTCGGAGCATCAGAAGAAGAGCCACGTTATTTAACCTAGTGTGGCACACCGAATTCAGACAGCAACAGGGACAAGAGGAAGTGCGTGTGCGGGAATGCCCCAGAGAAAGATTTTCTTTCCTTTTTGTTGTTGTCGCAAGAGGCACATGTACAGAGCGGTGTGGCACACGGGTGGCGCCATCAAACTGTTGACCACCCACACAAACAGCGGGTGTTGAGCCCATAGCATTTAGCCGTCAGAAGCAGTGATCGCTACGTGTCTCTAACACCATGACGCGGACATAGGATACCATGTAGCAAGCGAGGTGGTCGAGGTATCACTCTGAACAACAGACTTGTCGTACGATGAGGTGAGCGAGAGGGTGAAGCGAGCCACTCAAACCTCGATGTTGGGCTCAGATAACGACGGTTGAGCCGGAACACAAAAAGAGCAAATGGAGAATTTAAAAAATGCAATGAAGAGATCGCGGCGGCTCTTATGTCGTCGAACAAAAGGACGAGAGGGCGATATGAAAGAAGAGAAAGAAGAGAGAGAAGAAAGAGACGCGCTGAAGGCTGAAGTCAGTATTCTAACCCTAACCTCGTTCCTTGCTTGCACGTGCCGAATCCCGAACTCGAAGAACGATGCAACGTACGTATCATCCGTACTACAGATCGCCTACAACACGATAAACGGTATTATCACGCAAGGTAGATGGAGCTATGCCTTCGGTGTAGCACACGACCTCTCGAGTACATTATATACTACAACGGGAGTACAACTTCCTCGTTGTCGTTTCATCGCCACATTTTCTCTGACCGTCGACACTATTCTCTCCTCTAGTCTACCCTGCCAACAATCGTACCGCCCTCTCTCTTCAAGATGACCAGCCCAAACATCCCCCCCCCAGGCTCGATACATTAAAAGAAGATACAAGGGTGATTCTCCTCCTCCGTGTCTTACACCGACTGTACGAATCTTTAACCATCACGCCGCATGTACCAACGTGGTCCGCAGACTACCGATTCACGTCAAATTAGAGGACGGTATTGCTCTAACTCAAACGTGTCTATACAGAAACATATGCGCATCGCGGCCGCGTAACATATTCATTGACACTAATCCCTGTTGAGCAATTTCTGCCTCCACTTCGCACTTCCCGTTCATCCGTTGACTGTCGAACGAATATACCTTGCCATCAACAAGAATACGAGCGGTGAAATGCGCACCTCCTATGTAGATGATTCCACATAGTATGAAACGGACGACACCAGACGTCGTGGGCAACATGAGCTCCAGATCAGGTAGAACCGAGCCACGCATTGTTGACGAATGTTCTAAGCAGAGGAGAAGCGGCGCCTCTCTAATCTTGAATCTCAGGTTGTCCGTTCTGGAGCATTCTAAAGAGTGCGTTGGTTCCCAAATAGAATCATTCCCTAGTCTACAACAGCTGTTAATCCAGCATTGATGAGTATGCCTCTTCGAAACATCCGCATTGACATCAGCCGATCTGTCATAAATATAGGGCCATAATCGCCCGCCGACGTGGCGATATCTTCGATTTGTGTCCACATCTAACGGAAAATGCGGAAGAAGCTCCCAGTTCCAATGTGTAGAATACACAATCGTTGTGAAAAGCTCTGACACCGAAATTGGCACTCTACCTCTTCGCGGGAAAGTCCTGCTATCCACCGCTGACACGTATTCTCGGAGGATGTCACGAGAGTCACTGACTGTCCTTGCACGGGTCTGACTCGGCCTTGCATACAAACCATTCAGTCGACGAAATACTTCATCGAGTCTTGTCAATATCACATTATACCGGCTAAATTTATTTTTCCAAGTCGCATCGGACTGTTCAAATGCGCACCATATTATCATGAAAATACAGTCGTATGCACATGACCAATCTGGTTCAGACCAGACGCAACCTTGTATAGATTCCCCACATGCCAGATGTACACCGTCGTTGTCATGCTCCTTTCGAACCTTTGTTCTTTTGGATGATCGATGGACCATACCATCAGCCATGCCAGTTTCTTCAATAGCCGAACTCGTAGGATCACTTTCTGATTTGCCAGAGTGGCTTAGTTCGAGACATCGCTTGGGACCAACCACGTTCCAAACCATGGAAGCTGAAGTTCCGACATAAGTGCCTGATTGTGGACAAAAATGTTGGTCTTCAGCGTCAGGTACGTCAATGATCGATTCTTTGATCAGTCCGTATCGCACCAGTGTATTATGCTCAATAGCGGAATAACGTTTCATCTCGGACATAAGATTATAAGGAAGTCGCTTATTCAACATGCTTTTCGTTACAGGCTTCAAGAGAAAAAGATCATACCGACATCTGGCCCTCGAAGCAGCGACATATGAAGCCCAAGACCCTTCCTGAAGATCACAGAGTACCTTTGGTAACGTTTTCCCTTGAGCAGAATGGCCTGTCACGCAATAGCCAGGCTGTATTGGTAACTGATACCGGCGGATTCTATATCTGACAGATTTATCACCATCCAACTTCAGTGATGTACTGAACGACCAACTAACAGGTTTGATTGGAAATACGCCTTTAGGTAAACCCGTAAGTTCGATTGGACTATCTGGGAAGTGCACTAGTACCAGCTTCGCATAAGTCAATCCGTACTCATCTCTATCGGTTTCTATCCTATAGACACTACCCTGCGAGCCATTCGCTATACGCAGTTCTACCGATAGGTTTCTCCCCCGGAGTATGACAGGCATACCCTCAAATAGTGACATCATTCCAGGTAAGGCACCCTCCGAAGAATGACCAGCCGTTCTTAACCGGAGGACATCTCTCCTGAAATCGCCCCTCTCGTTGATAGGCACAACGCGATCCCCTATGAAGTCCAACGCAGCACATGGCACCAACGGCCGGCCTAATTGCCTTGACATAGTCTCGGCCTTGTACTCGTTAATTCTTTCCCGAAGATCATTAGTGGAAACGATCACCGTCGCCGTGTCGTTGCCCGGCTCTGACATATCGACTCCGTCTGGACAATTTACCGACCGAATTACACGGGAATTGAATAATGCCACATCTTCATCTGTGCATGTCCTCGTTCTCAGTCTATTCACTGCTGCAGCGTATTCAGGATCTGACTTCATGCGGAATTGCTCTGTGAATTCGACGACAGCGTTCAGCGTTTTCCATGCTAGCCTTCCGAGCCTACGTTTCAGCTCTGTTGAACTTATTTCCCTTGTGGAGCGGATACAGGTGAACAACGCGTTTCCACCGACCGGAGGATATTGACAGAAATCTCCTGAGAAGATCACAATGATACCCCCGAACCACTCATTCGGTCTCTCTTTTGCCATTCTCAAAGCATGGTCGATCTCAGTCAACGCTTGCAAGCTCAATAGCGATACTTCATCGATCAGAACAACGTCAACGTTCTTCCAAGCATGACGCATCTCAGATTTCTTTTGTACGGTGGTTTCTAACTCGTAGCCCTCGTTGAAGGAGGTCCGTGGAATATCTTTCATTTCGTCCCTTTTTTTTTTGACCTTCAATGCTAGTCCTTTATGACACGTCATGCCATCTATCAAGGATGCAGCGGAGCCGGTTGGGGCTAGTAATCGTAAGCGGTGGCCACTACCATAATACTCCATAAATTCTCGAAGAGCCCTTATCGAATGACTTTTGCCCGTCCCGCCAGGTCCCGTCATAAGAAGCCGCAGAGGTTCGATTTTCTCGGACTCGTCGTCAATTCCGTCACTGTCCGCAGTATGCCGTCTCTCATGCACTTTGAACCAAGCCCGAGCCGCTATAGTGAAAGCTACTGACTGCTTCTCATTCAGGTTATGAGTTCTACTGATCACTTCTATCATCTCGACAGGTCCCTTCAATGGATCACTCTTGCTCGACGGATTCAAGAACGCTACAGGACCTGTATCAAATCCCGACATTTCCTCGCAGACCGTCTGCGATTCCTTTTCAGAATCATCCACAGCTACTTCACTTAAGATGTCCTTTACGATTTCTGTGGACCCGAAGTCCTGCAGTCCTTGTTGGTCATGGTGTAAGATGTTCTCCCTTGCCGACGCCAACAGGCCTTGTTGTGACTTGATTTCACTATCCCATGTCGCCAAGCGGTCACTAAGAGAATTACTGGGCACAGGTTCATCCCCATACGTGTCAACATCTACATCATCCCGTGTCAAATCCTGGGAAGCGTCCAGATACCGCGCATAACGAAGGTTCCTGACAACATCCAATATGTGCAAATCCTTTCCCACGTTTGAGTTTCGTGGGTCCTCTGTTAACTCGATGCCACCGTCATCGTCTTCGTCATGCGTACTTCCGACAAGACCATCTCGCAACCTGCGTGACTCTTGCATACTTCGCTCCTGTGATGCAAGTCTATCCGCATCACGAGCGTCCTCACACTCGTAGATTACCTCCCAATTTTGCACAAGTGATCGATGAGGAGGTTTAAAAACATATCGCTTCATAAAGTCTGCGACATTATCATCAGCCCCAAGTGGTTCAAAAGTGTCACTGAACGGTACAAAGTGGCATAGAAGGAAGAGCCAGTACGTCTCATTATGAGACGATCTTGGTATGCTCATACCAACGATCCTTGGGATGGAATATATTTTCATCGAAGAATCATCACCGGGAACAAAACGCTCCGCGATCATGTGGGACGAGGAGAGCGGATGTGCAGATTTCAATGCGAAGCGCTGTTTGCTAGTCTTACGCCCTTTCCCACTACGTTCAATTTTCTTTTCAATTTTGAAGTAACACACAAAATCCATAAAACAAAGGTCATGCAACGCATCATCCCGATACAAATAATCATGAAGCTGAGTAGCGTTCACTATAGATCCACTCTCCGACACCGTGAGCTTCACTTTCATTTGCTCACAAATGTCATCTGTAGTGTCAGGTCTGACTGTTTTCTTACTCTCATCAATGAGAGGTACAACATCTTCGCCGACCTGCTTGTCCAGTGGTGCATGGACGCCAGGATTCACGGGCTCACCGCACTCATTCAATTCGTCGTCTACATCGTCTGAATATACCGAGCTTTCGTCAGTCAAATCACCGTGTTTAGTGTCCGCATTCAGCCTCTTCGCATATTTGCTTCTCACATATGAAAAAGCTAGATTGGACATCACAGGAATTGTTCGATGAGAGGATATCGCGTCACCTTTCCCTCTGAGATAGCGGGCAGCCTGCTGCCCATGTATCTGCTGCTTTTTACTGAACTGCGATAGACATTTATGCAATAGTGTCTTCGCATTCTCCAATTCTGTCGCATCGTCCTTCTTTGGCGACGTCATAACCGCTTGGCACATCAAAGACAGCATCTGACTGGTACGAAGACTCATTTTTGTTATATAGTCCGTGATATAAAACATTGCTGCTTTCGCCGACCTCCCTGACATAATACATCGAATGTCATGATTGTGGCGACAATACACTAGCATGTATGGGTTATAGTAATTCACGGTTGCATCTTTACAAGCTAGTTGCACTGAGTTCGTTTCGACTTCAAAGTGCGAAACATCCACGATATCATGAGGAAAGCGAAACCGACATCTTTCCAGATTGCCATACTTATGACAGACAGCTCGACAATAGTGTCTTTGCAGAGCTTCACCACAAAGCTTGACCTCCGTCGCGAAGTTGTCTTCCCATCGATCTATAGTTTCTTGAGATCTACTTTCCCCTGCAGCTAATGCAGGCAAAGGAGCAAGAGGCAACTCTGTCGCAGGCCTATAACTGTGTACCTTAAATCCCGGCGGCACATCTACTTCAGGTAAGTCGTGTTTAATGATATCCTCAAAAAACGAAAAAAACCTGTCTTTGAAGGAATCGTCGGTCTTCATTTTCGTATGTACGTCGGAGGGATTTAGACCACCCTCGAACCAAAGTAGGAAGTGACCATGAAGGACCCCTCTCTCCGTGTACTCAGTTGATCCATAAAATCCCTTCAAATGTCCTAGAATTCCGCCTCGTCTTTTAGAACGTCCTTTGGCAAAGTCCCATCCGAATAAATGTTCGAAGAGACAGCGTATGGATTTTTCAAAAAAGTCACAAGCCGCGACAGGGTCTTCCGCAAGACACCTTGCTCTCTCTGGACCGCAAGCGAGTACAGGATAACGTTCATTTAGGTTCACCGTCTGGTCTCCACACATCATCATGAACAAAGGATGATGCTGAGGCGACGGGTTTACTGTCAAAAATATTTGAGGCACCCCCATCATTGCGACGTAGCTCCGAATTTCGTTTCTGCACAATGTCTTCGAGGCTGCTGAGCCCGGAACCTTGGTAGCAATGGTGTTAACGTATCGCAGCATCAACAATGCGGCTCGCTCCTGATCGGTTAAACTCTTCGGTCTTCCTTCCTTTTCTATAACGTCTGCGAGCTTTTGAATGGTACCCGATGATAATCCATTGAAGGTGTTGGCAACTTCCTCAAAGTTCGCTCGGCTCACCGTAAAAGACGTGTATAAATGACCAGTACGTCTCTGAATGATGTTCAGTGCTACGAACATAAAGGAATAATGATACCTAAACTCACGGTCGGCGAGGTCAAGATAATAATGAGCTTGACTCGCAAACCCTACTTTTTTAGGGCGACCAGCGACTTCGAATCCTCCAATACCATACGGGAACAACGTCGGGTACATTCCCGGGAAAAGATTAGGATTATTGTACTCCGGTAACGCAAGTGATCCATGCCTCAATACCATTCCAGGGCGTGTCTTACCATCACGAGGAATAAGATTCCTCATAGCAGATGCTACGGATACACGACCGGGTAATGACTGAATCTCTGCGTCTGACACACCCGTCTTCTCAAGGAAAGTATCGTTTTTATGTACGTCAGATCCTTGATCAAATATCAGCGACGACGCATGTTCAGACAATCCAGCTGTCTCTTCCTCGTATATAATCTTGCTCTGTTCTGCACTTGTTTCACAGTGCACAACCCTGTCGATCAATCCAGGGAGAGTACCAGACTCAGGATATTGTTTCACATTGTCCTCATCTATGGCAATATCAGCATACAGTTCATTATGGTCTTTCAACCACATTAAAAACTTCCAAACTTTGTCACGTCTGACATAGAATATCTCCTGTAGTCTGCCTTCACTAATATTCTCTGGACCTAAAAACACCACCGAGAGCATCCCGTTAACGTCGACTGGGGCCCGTGGAAGTGCCTTTGCTGTTTCAACGATGTTCATCTCATGGGCACAAGTATTTCCTCGCAGCTTCCGAGCCTTGAACTCGCCATGACCCATTACTAAACGGGTCACTATTGCCGTAGATAGATACTTCGCACATACCATCTCCTCAACCCAAGTGAGATCTCTGAATTCTTCAGGAAGTCGTCCCCTATACAAACAGTTCCGTAAGGACAAACGCGGAATTGAACCATTTAACAGAGACCTTCTGCACTCATCGCAGACGTCCAAATCAAACGTACCCGGGTCCATATTTCTATGAACGCCACGATGATCCAGCATCAAACCAGACAAGGCAGGAAAATCCCAGAACACACTGTCACCACTTTCTTCTATAATACGAGTCATGTTGGAGTCCTCCACTTTGAGCAAGTCCATGCGCAATTCCAGGAACTCCTCTGCGACAGAGCAAAGCCTAGAATACTTCAAAGAATCACTCATACGAGCACAGACAGCACATACAGGCGGTTGTTCCCATTTCATGCCACGAACGTATTGCCTCAGGCATGCGTGTATTGTTTCCTTATCAACCTTCTCCGGCCAATCTGATGACAAAGTTTCAATACCATCTTGGCCATCACTAAATTCGACCATAGCTTCATCTATCCTTGGCCGAACTGGCACTCGTGCATGGCCAATGAGAAGTAGACTCTGTAAAACAGATACACCATACTCACAGGAGAGAAGCATCTTAATGCATTCAATTCTCGACTGAAAACCGTCAAACCTGAACTTAGGATCCCAGCACAACAACAAGTCATGTATATCTGTATTGGAAAGAATACTGTACTCGCAACAAGTATCACGAAGACTACGTACAATGGCCTCCGTGTTCTCCAAATGAGAATCGGTAGGCGTTCTGAGCGGTAGTTTACTGGGATGTATACGTCGGAGGCAAGTCGACAGTGTGCTTCTACCCAACTTCTTTACTACTGACACTTGACTCGAGAAAGAGACATCACCAAAAAGTTCCGACAGTAGCTCAACCCTTTCGGAGGAAGACACCTCTGGTGAATAAATAGTGCGTGGCGGTACTCGCAATCTGTCCGAGACATCAGCACCAAACGCTCGCATGAAAAGAAATTGTATCATGGTGCACCTAGAGTACAGTATATCCCTGCATACCGTTTCTTCATCTGCAGGTCTTGACAACATCAAACAGCTGACTCGCATGTTCTCATCCGACGTGGAAAACACAGTATCTGCGAGACTCCTTGCACTACGTATAATGTCACGAATAAGCTCTGACCTCCCTCGGCGACTTGTCCGAGTGTAGCCCAGTTCGGCGGTAACTCTCTTGAGCTCTTTAATTGTTACAGCTTGTAAAGACGCGAACCAATGCTCTTCACTAAAGCAAAGCCACTCCGGATTCAGATCACGACGAGAAAAACAAGCCCTTGATTCTGAGTTACGTATCATCAATCTCACTGTCCTCTCCGGATAAAAAGAAGAAGAAGCAATCTCTGAAAATGAAACACTAAATGGAGAACATAAACCGGTCAACGAACGTACAATGACTTCATCGATTCCAGCCTCCACTAACCAACCAGGGTATTCGGAGCTGAATTCGATCTCGAGCCATCGGCAAAAAAGTGATGTATCGGAAAATACCTCAGGGAAGAGGTCGGGAAACCATAATGGAGTATAATATCTCGGATACATCGAGATATCATGTACCACACCAGCTGGAGGACAAAGGGACTCGTCTATGACTCTCCAATGCTGGCATCCTTTCTTCACAAGAAGAAGTTTAGACATGATCTACCGTTCTTACGGTCAAAGTAAATATCGCAGCTACGGCGAAAGGTTTACTCGGATCGAGTTACGCTGGTGGGCGTGGATACTGTATGACACAGTACGATGCACAAAACACAGTGAAACACGAAGGGGACGCAAGAGGACTCCCAGAGTACTGCAGCACGCCCATTATATAGCAATCAAAACACCCATCGTAAAACATACACGTAAGCATAAGTTAATTCAAAAGGTACATTAACGGCACAGCCGAATAAGCCCCAATCGCGACGTGTATGAGATAGTATCGGAGTACAGCTGAAAGCTTGGTGAGATGAGATAAATACTTCCAGGAGTCTAGCCAATCACGATGAACCATCATCAAGGAAAATATCCGGTAAACAAACCGTCCAAGGACGTCTCTTCGGTTGAAGGACCGATGACCTCTCTCAGAGCCTCTCCCATTCCGACCATCATTGGGATTTTGAACGGTTTAGCGAAAAGCCGGAGCCTACATTCAGGGCAACGATAGTCCGGCCATCCTACAGCCGTTCGAAGGTCATAGCCCCACTCCGAAGTGATGGGATCGGGTATGAATCTGAGCCGGTACGGCAAGAAGTCTTCGTTAACGCGCAGGATATCCTTCACAACGTCTCGGAAGACTCTGACGAGACAAGCGTAGCAAAAAACATGACCACAAGGGCCGATACTGTGCGTACAAGTTGAACATAAGTCTGAAAAAGCGAAAGGAAGAACACAAGGAGAAGAAGAGAGGGCGAAAACGAGGATGGACATAAAAGAAAAACGTACCAATAAAAGACAGTCATAACACATAAGCAAATAGGACAGCTTAGATAAATCTCCCGAGTCTTTAAAATCTTCCGCGTGCTTGAGAACCCTGATTTTGAACACAAATGGAGACGTTACCTTCTCTTGCACCCTCTGACACTCGAGGACAACTTGTGCCAAATCGCGTTGCGCACCCTAAAATAAGAAAGAAATTGCGCCGTTAGATAAATATAATGTCGAGAAGAAACAGGACGCCGACATCGTTCTCAGCATCCGAAGGCAAATGCTAAGTCCCAAATCCATCAACATACGGAAATATCAACGAAATGAGAAACGAACCTTGTCTTCTGCTAAGCACGATGCAAGTGACGACGACCAACCCAGTATCTGCACATCTTCTGTGTTCTCCCCACGAATAGGACTATCATTATCAAGAACTATCGGGTTCGCAAGGCTTCCGGACGATGATGAAGGCTTGCCAGACTCAAGAGCCATCCCGCTCGATGATGACCTGCTGAACGTCGTTCACAGTCAGTGGAAGAGAGACTATCAGATTATGTGTCGCAACTGACCTGCGGCTTACGGCTCCATAATCTAGAAAGGTAACAATCGGAGGTGGGACGCAATTTATACTTTGAGCGGCATGACCCTAACACCTTCGCTTTAACAAATAGTGGATTCCATATCAAGTCGACGTGAAATTACATCAATCACACAGTAAAGCTCTGCTAAACTGAGGAAAGCATCACCCCCATATAAATAACCACTCAATGCAGGGAGAGTATACACTAGACATGGCATCAACTAATAAATAACATCAGATCAAAACACAATAAACTTATGCTCCACCACTATTTCCAACCAAACCCACCTGAGTCCCTGAACTCCTTCAAAGCCGTGAGTAGCGTTCGAGACTAGTATACGTTAAAAGAACTAACCATATTAAGGTTCTCGCAGTTCCTGCAATCTGGCCTGAAGCGTGGTGACCTTGGATTCCAAACGTTCTCTCTCGTCTCTAACCGCACGGGCAATGGCTATGATCTCTTTCAAGCGATTGCAAAGCACATGGACAGCCGAATCCGCTACCTCTGTGAGTAATGCTCCTGACGACGCCCATCTATAATATTCGACGTCCCAAGGAATTGACGTCTCCATCGAGGTAAAGGCGGTCGAACGACAAAAGTAAAACGCGATGTGGCGAGTAAATGAAAGTCTGGCGTCGAATTGAGCCATCGTAGGTAACGGGGACCGGCCGAATCTCATAAAGCGAACGGTGGAACCAAATCGATGGCCGGATGGATAGGGAAGATGCATATTGCCATTGACAAAAACGCCGAGTTCCCTTAGAGCAGGACAGAACTCTGCAAAGTATGGCAAGCACTCCAAACTGACCGCGCTTGTACGAAGGATAGTCGGTTGAGGGTTCAAAATAAGAACCTCCACATGTGGTAACCCGGCCGCCAGGGATCGAAAATCTTCGTTGGACGCATTGAGCGGGAACGCATGATGGAAGGCCAGCTTCTTCAAGGCTGTGAACCCACGGACACCTCCCAGATCTTCCACCGTGATCCTGTCCATCTGTTTGATCCGCGCTGGGATCTCAGACTTTGAAGGCACGAACCAAAGCTCGAGATCCTCGAGCCATGCCATATCCCGAGAAAGTAGGGTAAAGAAGTCCTTCACATCCTTTGAACGAAAGCCGACCGTCAAGGGCACACGAATGAAGAGGCGCGTCAACGGGATTCTGTGGAAACATCGATGGGATAGGAATGATGATGCAACGGGGACAGTCGGCGACGAGAACGACAGAGATTCCAACGCGGGGAATGCGTCATGTGGTAAATGAAATCTAGCAGGATCAAACCTGCTCAATGGCTCCGTATTATGATAGCTCGATATCCTGGTCTGGTGCGTCGAGAGCTGGATCTCTCGAAGCTGCCGAAGGCCTGAAAGACCGCATAACATGGTGCCTGTAGCGCCATACAAGGGCAGTTTGACAGTCTCCAGGCGTGGAAGCATCGAGCAGAGGAACGAAAGGGGGTTATCGAAGGGAACGGGGTTGTCGTACGACAGTTCCAACGTGCGGATGAACGGCATGCGCTCGGTAATGGAGCGGCAGCTACTCCATAGTCCAAGACTGTCTCCCATATACGATTGAATGTTCCAACAGAGATCGCTCACTGAGTCCGACATGAGCAACTTGGTCATATTCCTCGAAGTCAACCGTAGACAACGGAGTAGTGGGAATATCGGCCCTGCGTGCAGAGGACGGCTGCAAGCTAGGGACATTTCCGCATGGGGCGAAATCCTCCAACGACCTCCAAAACTGTGATCGGAGAGAATCCGCACATGCCGGGTTTTCTTCATGAAAACGGACCATTCCATATCAGAAGGGTCGCTGTGGAAGTTCTAAGGTTCGACGTCAGAAAGTTTCGAACAAAAGGAAACAAGATCATTTACCACATCGTCGAAAACCCTGGAATCACTACAACTGGGAGAAAGCAACGTGAAAATACCCAATTCTGCGTCTCTCCACACCAGGTCCTGAACAGATATCAACCATGCACCGCATGTTCGGCACATGCGAGCGATGTCTGCCCTAACAAGGAACAAGCAGACATAGCGAACGATTTCATCTATAAACAGTGCCCGATGCATATCGCCGATACTGGAAAAGACGGAAAGGTCATTATCAAACAAACAAAAGGACCGAGAAATACAGGAATGAAATACACGCACGTCCGATAGCAAAGACCTTCCCAAGGAAGAGCAGCATCGAGAGCAACAGCCCATCTTTATAAAACAGGCCGTCAAGCGCCTATCACACCCATCACTCCAAAAATAAAGTGAGAGATATACTTCCGGTACACGACAGTCAAGTTGGCATAGAGGGGGAAGAGGAAACCAAGCTGTAAACGACGACCCTGTATCATCGCACTGCCACGCGGAGAACCAAAACAATTTAAAAAAAACCCCCACCAGTAGCGGCAATCGCCGATCCACACTTACCAACGTCTCAAGTCACTGCTGCGAAAGTCTTAATAGAACTAGTGCAACACCGCCTGCGTACCTCATATGAGAGCGGCAGAGAGTTGTGAAGATACGTCTAGTATGCATTTCATATTGTGGCGCATATGTTTTTAGATCAGCACAGGCGAAATCACGATCAAAATCACAAGGGCAAGGTCAGACGTCGCCGACTAAATAAGACGGTCTCCCACCTTTACGATGCTTTTTGGAACCATATCTCAGGAGATATTACTTCAAACAGCTAGCATCATAGAGGCAAGTGCACAGGTCTATCAAATGACGTCGCGTACTTCCTCCACTTAGTCCATTCCACTCGCGCTCCACTCACCGACCCTCCACTTGAATACTCCCGAAAGAGATCAAAAATTTCGGCTACCAGCACAAGCTAACATGACCTCACATCATATTCGATGCCTTTCTATAAAAAAAAACAGGTAAAATGAAGGTGGTCAATAGCTACGGCGATGCTCTGGAATACTTCCTCATGAGTTTACCCACCGAGCTTCACTTCCACATCATTGTGGTCGCGCTAGCCAACTATCTGTCCTCTGTACTCATCTGCAATGAGAACAACTTCTCTCTTATCATCAATCCAATCCCATCACTACTCCTCACCTGTAAACGATTCAACGCCTGTGTAGATGCAGCGCTCAAGATTCTACTGACAGACGGAAACATTGAGACCTGGAATTACTCGTAAAACAACACCCCATCACACCACGATCACAGTTCTGACTAGAAATTCAGACAGACACCAATAGCCGTCGTACAATGTCTGGTGAACATCGCTAGACTCGCCGATGAGGAGCCTTACTGTGACATCGATGACGCCGCTCGAGCATTACCAACCAACATCCTTCGATCAGCTTTTGGCTCTGCCTGGATTCAACTGACGAGGAACACCGCAGCCGAGACATATTACTTGTGGCATGCAGAGAAGAATTTTGAGGAAGACGACCTCGAAGTATTTACAGAGCTCTCATTTGACAACATATCAACATACCAAGGAACTATGTCGAGCCTTTTCAGGCCTCACTTCGAATACGCAGTGTTCCATGCGAAGAAGAGAACAATGCTCTGGGAGAGAGGTAAGATATTTCAACGATCTTCCTACATTATTTAAAACATAATTCAATCAACGCAACCAATGTAGTGAACGCGCTTCGCCACCAAGCACTCAAAGCTTCGCATATCATTGAGCAAGTTCGTGCAGGTATCACACCAGAGGTAGCTCTAGCATTCATACTGTTGTACAAGTCTGACAGGTGAACAGGAACAGTATCTGGCGCTCACGCCAATCAGAGATATAAACGAGCTTCTTTCGGTCAGCAATTCCTATCATAACAAAATGGCGGAAAGATACGGTATTGCGCCTTCAAGCATACCAGAATTATCTACGGTGGAGCTACAACTTACGAAGGTATTGCTCTGTGGCTGGGAGAGAGCAGAGATAATGGGTGTCACCACAGATCTACAACAGTGCTGGATAGCACTGCAAGACGGTCTGCTTTGCCGTTTCTCCCTACATGAACTAGAGACAATCATGCGGCGCCCAATAACTCACAGGATGACACCTTCTACTTGGAACTCTTTCGACGACCATTTCTTCCTTCTTTAAAACACGTCAGAACTTACACGAATGAAGGAGTTTATACTCATATACATCAGTCCTTATCACCCAAGACGTACACATCCAAACTCCTTTCGATATATATGGAACGGACATAGTCGGTGCCATAGAAAAAAAGTAGTGAAAGCATGATCTAAGTATCAAGATAACGAGAAATTACATGCGCCGTAAATAATAACATTTAACGATGAAGAAAATACACAAACACATACGCACAATAGAAATAAGTACAGTACCAGCAATACTTCACTCATAATAAGCGTGTACTTCGCCATATATCCCATATAAATACGGAGGATTGTATCATCAAAACTGGAGAGAGGATCAATCGGAGATGTCCATGAATACAAAGTCTTGCGCACAATGTGTAACCCTTTCATCCGCAACGAGGTCCTCCAAAGCCTTCCACACCTCGACATTGTCCGTCATGAGTATGTGTACGAATTGCAAAACAGCACACCAAGGATTACTGGCATCGGCTTCCCTAACGATTAAAGACAATCGTCGCCGAGAAATGTCATCAAATTTACCCAAATCCCACTCAGATGCCCAACTAAGACGGCATCTAGCCGGAAGGATCGACGATAAAAGTCTTCCAGTACGGATCCATGAACCCTGCGACGTAGAAGAGTCCAACATGGAGAGCGGGGAGCTACCCACAAACAGCTCATCTAAGTGCCGGAACCTACTCTTGGAGTACGGACGAAACACCGGGAAGGACGCATCCAAAAACAACCCCAAGCGACGCATTCGAGGACAGTATCGAGCGAACCAAAGAAGGACCTCAAGCGGCAAGCCTTCCTCCAACTCTGGAATCGGAGAGGGGTTGAGCCACAAGGTATGGAAACGATGTGCACGATAGGCAAGGTTTTTGGCTTGCGTGATGTTCACTTCGATGGGTCTACGATGGTCGATGGAGAATGTTGTAAGATTTTGTAAAGACAGAAACCTCCGGATATTTTCGAAAGATATCCTGTGATATGGCTCCGTCGATGGTGACATGTCGCCTGCTCCGTCAGAAAACCGAATAACGAGGGTCTCCAAGTGAGGGCAACGGGAGACAAGGACAGCCATGAAGTTTTGGATACATTTTCCAGATGTTTCTTCGGAATAAATGAAGTTGACCCAAATGTGAACGAGAGATGGCGCTGGAAAATTTTCGTCCTCGAGTATCCTAACGACCGCGGATACAGATCTCGCGTTGACCTCTAGAAAACGAAGAGATGGGAATGCTCCCACTCTGAACTTTACGATCATCCTGTCCTCCATGAACCCCTCCCGTATCCGGAACGTCTCCAAGTCCGATGCTGAACGAGAGACCACGAGCCGTTGTAGTAAGGGCAGTGCGGAAAGTGGAAGCAATGATGACGGCGTAAGGAGGGTACTTGGCCGCTCATACCCAACGACATTATGAAGGCCGGACACGAGATAGGTGAACTGCATCTCGAATCCATGATAATATTGGGTCCCTTCCACATAAACACGTTCTATGTTTGGCATGCGGTGATGTACGGTCGAAAAGACCGTCTCTACGTCGACAATCCGCTTCGGTGTGGCTTCAACATCAACGATGATATGGATCTCCACAACGGAGCGCGACATGATCGTTGGATCCAAACGGCTGAGATTGCATGTCAACACCTTCAAATTCGAGAATATCTCCATCACCGGTCTGGTTCGAGCAATGGTCGACAAAGCCTTTTCACCAATGACGTATCCGGATCGGGCCTTTGGGAGTATAAGGTGTAAAACGCGATGGGAGTTATTCAGCAGCTTACGCCAACCCGATTCACCTGGAAGCATCTCGAACTCCTAGAAAGAGTAACATTCAAACGTTATAATCATGTAAATACCAAGAAAAACATACCCAGGATCTGCTGCTTCTACCACCGCTGTAAGGACGATACATGATTCCCAGAGTTTCAAAGACTTGACAATCGACAGTACTCCACAGCGCACACATCGCCAGCCTGTACCAGGACTGATTGACCCGAGCAACGTTCGCGATCGACGAACGTGGTAACAAGTCAAACACCTCGATCAGCGCCGATGCGGGGATAAACATCCAGTTTACTGTCGACATATGAATAATAGCTGTCCGATGAATACACAATAGACATACCTTTGGGGGTCGACATTGCAAACCAACAGAACGTAGTGATCAAGTAAACACCTTATAAAATGTGCACTGACCAAGAGCCTGAATCGACAAACAAAGAGCCATGTGATAGCCGCCGAAAAGCACAGCGAAGCACCGCAAATACACCTCGACCAAAAAGGCGTAAGCTCTCCCCACCCCAGCACAAAAAGATAAGCCGGAATCCATCAGACAATATGTTGAAGGACATATCAACGAAGAACGGCGCCGAAAATCACGACCTAACTTTCAGAGGAACGCATTGCTGTTACCACCGCGTAAATCAGCTGAGTTCGGATATCAACACACAAAGATCATCATCTACACAGCATCCGAAGAAAATGAGATCAGAAAGCCCCAAGCACAACGTGAGCCAGTAACCCAAATGTAAGAATCAAAGTCGCGACTCCAAGACGAACAATCGGAGCCAACGTGCAAAAAGCCGCAGCCGCCGCGACCTACGTCACCAAACGCCGCACCTTCCGTACACGATGTGATTGGTTCCGAGATCACCCGAAGATGTTCAAGGTTCCGCAGGAATCAAAGGACCCAATGCCATAAGAACGACTGCCTCAATCTAACTTTATCAAGTCTACTCTACTCCAGAGAACAAGAATCCAACAAGCCCCAAAGCCGAATTGCATTCAAAACGAAAAGAACAAACGTGTGGTCATAGTCACAAGGGCCTTAGTGCGCTGCACTTCTCGGATATTGATAGTTCGAGCATGGCATTCATCACTGGGTTAAATAATCTCCTGATGCGACCAATATAAATGAATCACTCCACCATTAATGCACCAGAAGCAAAAGGTTAGAGGCTCTCCAGAAATTCCCAAACGAACCCAGTTGAACTCAAAATCTCCATCAACCCTCATACGTTATCTTCGGGAAACTTGACGTCCCTGACCAACGGAATAAATGATGAACCCACAACCTGAAGCCTATCGTCAATCCAAACTCAAAAGAAATCAATCAAGGTAACAACGCCACTTTATTTCACAGCAAGCTTGCCACAAGGAAGAACGTTATGATATGAACAAATGAAAAAGAGTTGAAAAGATGGAGAATACAAAGGACAGCTCATACAGACCACATAGCACACGAATGACACGTCACTACATGCAAAAAATGAGCAAAAAAACGAACAAAGAAAAAAAAGTCAATACCAATGCGTACATATGCTGATGCAACTAACATACACACGTACAGCCAGATCACTCATACTCGAAGAAGTACGTAGAATATCAAACAGAACAGACAGACCGTATATAATCATCGAGACCGACGTCGAAACCAGTGCATATTAAAGCATATGGAAGAGGAAACTGTTTCACTTCCCATCAGTAAGACAGGAGCGTAACTGAACGAGACGACTCACAGCCCAACCATAGTCCCAAGCAGCCATGATGTCCTCCGGGGACAAGAATGCAGCATCGTCTAAAGTACACACACGACGTCCAATTCGAGTGCTCGTGAAGGTGTCCTTAACCTGGATGGCCGTGCGTACGCGTTCTTCGATACCCAGTTCCAATTCACTACAGGCAAAATACCTCGACCACGCTTGCCGAACCTATTGGGTCATACGTCTATCAGTATCGACCATACCCGCCCTAGGAAAAGATACAAAGTACACTTTTAGGCTGGGTAAGCCATTGCTCACGCGTCAATGGGGGCAGGCGCACATATCGGTATGTTCCCAAATATTCGAAATCTCCTCTGTCCAGCATGGTGAGCCAAGGATAATCCGACTCTAGTTCAACTTCAGAAAGCCAATGTCCCAAGAATACGACACCAGGATACCCTGGAGCAACGGGGACATGGGGCTGAAACACGCCACGTGTCGCGAATCCCATATACGTGTCGATGTCCTCACGCCGAGAAGCCTCCACGAACCGTTCGTAGTCTGCGACAGCACCTCGTATCGGACTTTTACCCGGGTGGCCAATTTTGAATGTCTTCACACCGCGAAGTAGTCCGCGAATAAGGCTATCCGTCATTCGAATCACTGGGACAGCGAACTGAACGAAAAGGAGTTTACTCCGTTATATGATGACCGCTTCCTACTCCTACTAATTTAGAACTTACCCTCTCCTTCATGCAAGGCCTATAATGAACGAAGTCATCATTACTGTTTAGAGATCATGGGATATTAGAACAATTCTTCCTTCTCTACTCTCTTCTTCAAGTTTAAAACGCACCGTGAACGGTTTGACCCCACCGTAGCCACAACACTCGTTATATCATCGCCCTCCTCTGTGTCCGATTTTACCGAGTCCACATCGACTCTTCTCTGATGGGTGGATCAGAAAACCTTCAACTACAACTAAAAGAATACGAAAACTCTCACCACCACAGGTTGATCGTTAACTTCCATCCTCGCCACTCGAAATCGATCTTGAATCATTCGATGAACATTACTCTAGCAGAACATGCAAAATGAGAATGAATCAGCGAGTTACGAAGCAAGAGACACCCACGGCATACTGATCATCGTGTTGCAGCTGTCGAACGGCTTCATGAATCATTTCCTCAGAGGAAACTTTCAATACTCCCTTCCCATCCAATTCAGCTACAACGGAAAAAAGAGAAAGAAAGAAGAAAAGAAGAAAAGAAGAAAAGAAAGGACAAGAAACAAATCAATGAACATACCGTCCTCTCCATTTCTGCTATAACAGCAGAACCAACGATCCTTCGAAACAGACACAGTTCCAGAGACATATCCATCACCATACGTCGTTTGTGCTCAACTTCATGAACCAAGGAAGTAATCTCTTCGGTGAGATGAGACATCATTCGCATAAGGAAAAGACCCCGACGGAAAGAACGCTACCTTTACATACCCTCGCGAAAAGCAAAAAAGAAAGAAAAAAGGGGGCGGAAGAACGAAAGAAGAAAGAGAAAAGGGGGAAAAAACAGGACGGTAAAGCCGTGTTGGGCATCAACATCACCGTCGACCCTCGACATCTGACTGACCTATTCAAACCAGAAGATCTTTCACTACGTATACTCAACGCCCTCCAAAGGTCACAAGAAGATGGATGTAACTCACCGCTGAAAGGAACGCGATATACTTCGACGCTTTGACAAAAGTGGATTAGCATCCGCGACGACGTACCTCAAAGAACCTGGACTTACAGAACGTCCACACCACAACAGGCAAGGCGGCGATGTTACAAACTCGTCTACCAGACATATCTCCAAACAGGAAGCACAGAAGAGACGGTGAAATCCCGTGAACCATCCCAAGAACCACAGCTGATACTCATAATGCCGTTTCAACATCACGAAGCAAAGTCGCACAACCGATTGAATGGGCGGCCCTTGGCGTTTAACCGCTAACGCAAGGGCCCATCATTCCTTTCATTAACGAACCCTTCTCAATCCAATCACTTCCCGTAACGGACAGGTTAAGAATAACGACTTATACTCAGCTCCGTCGTCGTCCCCGTCTCGTCTCCAACCCCCCCATCCCCATCCCCATCTCATTGCATACAACTATCCTCACAAACCTCGAAGACATGAGCGATCGATCCGACGCCTCTCTCGCAATACTTTTACTAGAGCTGCAAAACGCTCGACTCGAGGCCAGCAATGAACTCCAAAAAGCGCGACTCACCAATGCTACCCTTATCCTCCAAAACGCTACTTTACAAGTAGAGAACGCCCTACTCCGGCAGCATATCAGAGACCGTATGGAAGCAGGTCCGCATGACACGGTGTGTACTTCCTCTCCTCCGATACAATGTCTAGAGCCCAACAGTTCGTATAGGCCACTCCGGCGGATATCCCGCCCGAGCACGAGATGAGCGACTTCGATCGAGCTGTCGCTGCAGCCGCCATGAACCACGTAAGTACCGTCTTCATGCATTCCACCCCATCCCCACTTCTGAATCGCCTTCCAGCCCGGATTTGAGTCCGCGTTCAGAAACGTCTTCCAGTACCCGGAGCCGACTGGCAACCCCACACAGACTAACGCCGTTTGTAACCATACATTACTGAACAATTGTTTCCATACTTACACGTCCACCAGTCCACCTCAGCACAGCAGGAAGACCACGCCTTCCTTCAAGCCAGCCAGCCACAGCAGGAGTATACCGAAGGAGTACCGGGTATGTACACAAACTTACTCTGGCACCACATACACATACGAATCTCATTCATCAACAGACATGCCCGATGTCATGGAAATCGGACAAGCCACTTCTCAGTGAACGCCGTATCCAATGCCAATGGGAGGATCTGTATACGGCGAGCTCATCCCAGACACGAGCTTTCGAAGTCACGATCATGTCTTTCGAGTTGGTTCAGAGTTGTGCCGTTGGAACCTTTGTAATATCGATTAGTTTTTTTTTGCACTATCTCAATCCTCGGTATCCATCGGCTGCTCAAGAACACCCGTGATCTTCGCCAGCGAACACTCGCTAAAGAACTTACGCCGGCCACCAATGCTTCCACCATTGAGTAAAACCAGTCTCGAGACTGTTAAAATATGTCGTCAACATCTCCCGACCTCTGAATCCGCGAACTCTGCGGGCATCACTGTAGTTGCTAGCGATAATCACGAGACACAGTGTGGAGCCATTTGACTGATGGTTTTCGGCACTGCTCAAAGTATAGTGCGGATACACAAAATTGGATCGTATTAATGACGGGCGCAACTCAACGTTGCCGCCACTGCATGAGCTCCATACAAACCAAACCAAAGCCGAACAAAAGACGAAAGCTTCGGGATATCACAGGAAACAAAAACCGCAACACAAGCAATGGTAAGCAACACGTAGAGCGCCAGGCTCACGAGATGCAAGACCCCTTGTATCGTAACATCGAATCCTCCATCCCTCGCTCACAAGTCCTGTATCTCTGTGGAAACCATGAAGGGACTTGAGTCTAGACGACGTCCATCGACGTCCGATGTATGAAGTGTATTGCGAGCAACCTAGATGACGACTGCAACTGACGAGGGAGGAGGAGTGATAAAATCACGCAATACGGACACTGCTCTTCAGGGTATGTGGCCCGATGCTCAATGATCACAATCTCCCACAGGTATATCATATCCTGTTGTTCCCAGACGTTGAAACGTATGAGTCTAAGAAGGGACTCACGAGGATAACGACGCCAGGCAATAAGGAACAAAGGGCGGAGATCCCTACCGATTATTGGAATATGCGCACGCCGCATAAGTCAAACATGAGAGACCACTGCAACAGAGCTTGTTAAAACACGGAATATCTGGCAAAAAAAACAACAGCGCACCACGTATATTATACTCATTCACAATCCGGCCTCGAAGGCCGGAAGCCGGGGTGAGGAAACGGAGGAAAGCACAGGGTCGAATACGAACGAGAAGACCATGAGCGAGCCTAGGGCAGAAGACGAGCGATATGTAAACAAGTTCAATAAGCATTTTTGCTAAGGAAGCGAATGCAAAGGGCCTTACGAACCGCGACGACTGTGTTGAGACGCGTGCTAGTCACGGCCCAGAAGCACAGAGGAGGAGAAAGTGGGGAAGGGTACGCACACTTTTCGATCTCGCTCAAATAACGTGAGCGTTATACGAAACCTAACAGTTGATATCCTTCTCTTGATACACATTCTTATGCACCAAGAACATGATCGCGTTCATCGCACGCACCCCTCATCACACTACACTCGAAACAACAGAGTACAGGATGTACATGTACCAGCGGATGAAAGATTAGCACGGCGAAGCGGCTTTACAATAAGTAGGGACGCCGAACGTACCCCGTATCTCAACACATGCTCAGTCCATCAAGATTGTATATCTTCCCAGCGAGATGAACTTCATATCAGAGACAAAAAAAGTGGGAATAACGAAGAAAAAGAGAAAGAAGAGAGGAGGAAAGGGAACGCGAGCAAGAGGAGAAGAAGCAACGGAATCAGCTAGGCCCACGCGTCCCGCTATCCGCCGCGAAACAATGACGTCAGAACATACAGGTCTCCACCCGGTTGCCACCCAGGTTCGTGGGCCCCATTCTCTTTGCGGTCCTTCCCTTCCGACAATAGTTGTTCTACTCGTATATAATTGATTGGTTTGGAACTGTCACGACCGAACGCGAGAAGAAGAAGACCACGGACAATACACTTAAAGAACTCGAACATACGACCCATGTAAAACGAGACTCACAGTGCCACCCTTCAAGGCGGGATTGTAAAACGACAGTCATCCAATTAAAATTGACGAATATAATCAACGTACATAGTCATCGACTGCGGTATACACACACACACACACACACGCACAAACGCACACAAAGATAAGAAAGAAGGCGAAGAAGGAGAGAGACAGAGAGGGAGAACGAAAGAAAGAAAGAAAGAAAACGAAACCGTGACATAAAGAAAGACGCCAAACTCATCTTCCCAAGGCGATCAGTTCTCGCTCTAAATCCCGAACCCTCCGGTGGAAACCTCTAAACTCTACAGTAAATACCCCCAGTATCCCCTGTACGACTCGCCAACCTTCGACACCAACAAAACCATCCACTTCCTCGTCCCCAAGAACACGGCGACAAAAGGCATCTCCCATGATGACGTCCTTGTCAAATATAGTTACCAACGAGCATCTTGGGCAAAATAAAGACGAAAGAAACTGGCTAACAACGCTCCAACAAGCATATGCACTATCCATACACACACCATGCATCGAAACAATAAGAGACCTCCCAATAAATAGTTGCTCCAATTTCCTGAACGTAACAATATTAAACGGAACGGGCACCTCACCAGTAGCATCCATGTAAATACCCAACCTGCGAAGCTCTGTACACTGTTCGGCAAACGCGCCTAACACTCCAATAGGTAAAGGGCTTGACCCTTCAAGCCGCGGAGAAGGATTCAACCAAAGGCAATCGAATCCACGAGCCGCTTCCGCAAGCCTGTAACCCTCTTCAGCCGTAACTTCAATCGGGAGTGGATGGGTCAAAGCGAATGACTTCAGTTTCCCAATTCCTAGGAGCAGTTGAATGTCGCCAAAACGATATGGCCTCATAACATCCTCTTCCAACGGAATTCCGCCGCTAGACACCCGTCCCCGCACTTCTCCGTATCGAATCATCAACGCCTTCAGTCGAATACAAGACGAAAGACCGCGTATCATCAACTCGATGTACTCATTGCTTGTCTGTCGCAGGGGCACGAAGTGGAGCGATATGTCGGTCAGCCACGATGACGGGAAGTAAACGTTCCCCAGCAACCGCTCGACGACATCCGTAGAGACAGCTGTGATCTCGAGATTCTGGAGAGACGGAAAGGATGCGCCCAGAAGACCAACGTCTATGGCCTCAGCAGTCCTAATGAGCCTCAAGTCTCCATCAATCTCCCGTGCACTGTTCGCTAGACCGATTCGAGATAAGTGGTGTAATTGTGATAGGCCGCGGAGCAGCGATGGCGATATCACACCCGCCGGGCGAACGAACTCTTGCAAGTAGGGAAGGGAGGCGACCAATACGCTGAAATGTTCCATAAACCCAGCGTAGCGTGCCACCTGGGTACGACCACGACCCTCCACACCAATCAGGAGCTTCTGAATCTTCGGCATCCGTGCAATGATGGCCTCCACCAGATGGCTCGCCTTGTCTCTCCAACGTAAATCCTTCGTGACGTCAACGTCGATTTCGATCCTGAGTTCCGACACACTCTCGGACATAAAGAGTGGATCCAGGGAGCTCAGTGTGCAAAAGATAGTCCTGAGATTCGGGAATATGGCCGGACGGAGCCTTGTTGCACGTAGAACATCCAAAGCCGTGTCAGACATTGAATGACCCGACGTGCCACTCGGAAGCCGAAGAGAAGTCACCCGATGACTGTTTCTATCGAACGACTCCCAGTCTCGGTAAGTCGGCTCCCGAGGAAATATCTTTCGAAGTGATGAACCACCGACGACATCCATGTCATTATAAACAACAACGTACCAAGATCAAACTATCCATCTCTTCGTAGCTCTTGATTCGTAAATCCATGGCCCGCAGCCCACGGAAAACATCCACACTAACTGAACCCCAGACCTCGGTCAACGCGACATCCGACCAATCTCGACAGACACGAGCGTTTCTAGCGTTGCTTGATGCCGGAAGAGAATGAAACACCCTGCGAAGTACTTCCACTGGCAACGTAGACCACTTAGCTGCAATTACGAGTAAGCGAAGGACAACTCAATGCAAAACGCACATACCGGTATGCACGACCATAGCGCAACAGGAAAGACCTTCTCCTGGAGACGCGCGTATAAGTAGCGTATAAGTAGCAAGGAGACGACAAATAAAAATGAAAAGTCACATCAATGCAACACATGAACATGGAGTATCACAAATGATTTGCTAGAAGCAGATACGATCAAGCCACTAACATATCAGCATCAAAAGGCATTCGTGATCTAAACTTACCCATAAGGGGAGTAAAATGATACCCGAATAGCTCTCCCAAGTCCCACTCATGATACAGGTACAGACACCGTATTGGCGGCTTCTAAGCTGGGACAATCAGCGCACAGCCTAAACCGTAAACTAGCACTCACTCAACCACTCCCGAACGCCGTCGTGAACACACACGATAAACCCTCGCTCAGATCCAGACTCAGCAAAGGACTCCACGAAGAGAATAAAATATAACAAAACTAGTCTCAAAGAACGTCTCTTGGTCTCGTGGTGGACCTTCCAAAACGCATAGATCATCAAAATAAAAAGATGCCTCAAGTGCTCATCATATCCTCTACCAAAAGGCCACATACCAGGTAATCATCCAAGCCGACCAAGAAAAAAAAAGGAAGAAAGAAAGCACTGTTGTCCAACGGAAGTCTTTCAACAGCACCGCACGGAACGAAAACGAAAACGAAGAAGGAAAGAAAAGATCGGACATCGCCGAAAGCAGAAATACAAATGCCGCGCGATCACCTTCCATGAGAATCCACGCCGACGCCACCGCCACAGCATTCTATAAAGAAAGAAAGACACATACGACCAACATGACTTCAGAAAATGAATGGTGCACTTATTCATTAAACAAGGAGGAATCGCGAAGACTCTTCTAACTACGAAGACTAAATATACCAAGATACACTCAAAGCACATCATTAAATACTACGCGAAGCTCGATGTGGAAACATAAATAGCCACCACCGCTATCGGTGAATATGTAGTATCGTACACCGATGGGACAAATAGATACTAAACGTAGAAGGAAAAAAATCGATGATACACTCAAACCAGGTCCTCATGGAAAACTCCTCCCAAGTTCCAATCACTATCCCAAGGACACAAGTCCTCTATATCGAAATCATCATCGTCCCACTTCCTGAACAACTGGGCCATACTATCCAGATTCCTCCACCCGTCGTCATAGCTGTCCAGTGTACTAAAGTCCGCATATCGAAGCCCATCACCCGACGAGGATTCCTCGAATTCCTGAGAATCAAAAAGGCAATCGTCTAAACCCGTTTCGATCCTGGACCCGATTGGCATCACCGCCGCGATGAATTCTCCCATGACCCAGAGCCCATCTGGTCGTCCATGTAGAGGGAAGGGAGATGCCCCGACGTTTAGGACGCGAAATTTCTCGTTGAATCTCGCTTCCGGGGGATGATGAGCGTATTTGAACGCGTCGATATAAAGTCCGAGAGAGATCAACTCCGGACACCAACGGGCAAAGTGACGGATGGACATCAACGTCTGTTTGGGTCGAAGAAGAACCGATGGGTGACGACAAAGGGATAAAGACCGCAGCTGAGGCCACTGCATAGCAAAACGTTCCGTCTCCTCGTCCGTCATGTTCAGCGGATACGTGTGGAATAAGGAGAAGTTGTGAAGGTTTTTAAACTGGAATAGCGGTTCCAATGTCGCATAGTCAATGGGCTCGATACCGACGACATCACTCGCCACGGTCGAGGATGTTACCATCGAGATGGATAAGCTGTCCAAAACTCCGCACTTCCTAGAGAGTGTTTCGAACAAATCACATAAACATGCCCTTCGTGCGGCGCCAGGGAACGCAACGAATAGCTCCAAAGCCTCCAATCTCTCGCATGGGCATAATGCTTGGCCAAAGAACATGACTCCGTACTCCAGATACGGAAGCGCCAAGGATAAGCGACGAAGGCTGCCAAAGCAAGCGCCGTGCACTGTCAACGCCGATATCGACCACTGTAAAGTGGCTTCCCGCTCCCCGACATGGCCGTACATCCCTAGCGTATCCGGTGGGTCGTTTGTGGTGATGGACTCCAGTATCGGAGCGATGCTCAATGCATACATAACCCACGGACCAACGGTGTACCGAGGAAGTGCGATCGACCGAAGGCATGGAAGAGCGAAGCACAACTCCGCGATTGACGCCTGACATTCGTGGACTATCGCCGAGGCCTGCACCGACAAGGATCTAAGGCAGGGCATACGCGATCCGACGTGCTTCGCATTCGTAATGAAGGATTCCACTTTCCCTATGTATTCCGGCTCGAAATACCAGGTCAAGTGCTCCACAGAAGCGCTCATGAATATGGGATCCAAGCAGTCGTCCGTAAGCCACAGGGATCGGACATTGGGGAATAATGTCCCATCCTGGACAAGACCACGAAGGGCACGAATGGACTGGGGACCAAGACCAATTTGTCCAATAGAGGGATCGTTACCCAGGAACCGAACACGACGACAGTTCCTTTTGAAGCGAGGCCAGTTCTCCAAGACAAGCAGGACTTCGGTGAATTCCTGTAAAATGTTAAGCTACATATCTCGCATGTACAGAACGAACATACCAAGTAGTTCCAACGGAATGAAAGCCTTTTCAAAACGCCTAAACACCCGAAAATGCGAAAATCGACCTTCTCCCAGAGAACATCCATACCGATTTCATACCACTCCTTGCATACCCCGACGACACGCGGAAGGTCTACCATGTCCACATGCCGGATGAAGTTCTCTAGAACGTCGTAGATCCTGAAGAATAAGTGCATCTGCAGCAATACATTGAGCAAGTTCTGTGAACGGATGAGATGGAAAGAAAAAACTCACGATTCAAAATCTAAAGGCGACTAATACAGCAGAATCTCTCCACTGAAATCCAACTTATAACTTTCTCACTTGTAAATACCATCACCGATTTCGGGAATGACCCTGACCTATTCCATTTGGGTGAGCGACGTACACCACTCGCATCACAATTCAAAGTAACAGGAGACCATAAATTAGTAGCCCCACATCGCCAATAAATATCTTCGTGATCGCCGACACGACTTCACGTTATACAACGAACCAATACTATACAGCATTAAGCCTAGTTAAAGCTCTGTGACGATAGATAGCCGAATTAAGATGCCCGCTATAAACACTAGAAAAACCATCACAACACCCCTGACGATGAATTCAAAACCCTTCTTCTTTGACGCAAGGACTGCGCCAATGCAGTGATGACCTTCCACCCCATTGCTTGTTCCTTCACGTATCTCCGTTTGGCTTGACCCACAATACCACAACTACGCATCTCGGCGCGAACCATCGCTGTCGAAGATATGCCCCCGTAGTCCAAGATTGAAGTGACCGCCGTCCACGACGAAAAGACGTGGGAGAATAAAATCGCCAAACTCTCCCGATTTTCAAGAAAACCTTCATCCAGCAATAGTGGGACCGAGGACCACCCAACGAAGAACTCTTTAACAGCACTCCTTTCCACCGGGTCCGGAGATGACGTCCAGCCTCTACTGCCGTCTACGTAAAGCGCGAGACGCTCCAACAATGGGCAAGACCGCGAAAATTCTTCCAGACAGCAGATAGGAGTTCCAGGTTCTAAAGGAATCGATGGAAATGGGTTCAACCACAACCGTGAAAACCCCACAGCTCTTCGTGCTATACGCCTCATGTCCCGTAAACTAAGATCCAAAGGCAGAGTGTGATCAACCGCGAACTCCATGAGGGACGTAAAAGTGAGGAATGGTTCAATATGGCCAAACTGGAGTTGAGGGAATGAATCGGCATTCGAAATCGCGTCGAGACTGAGCGCCGCCAGCCGGAGGGTAAGACATTTCACCCTTCTACACGATCCCGAAAGAACGCATAACAGCTCTCGAACATCAGCGGGAGCTAACGTCGTCCCAGTCGGAAAATGTACCCAAAGGGACACCAGATTCTGGCAAGGAAAGCCAAGGTCCACGGAGAAGTATCGAAGCGCTTCCGGAAACGACGGCGAGATGAAGCTGAAATCGCGGAGCGACTCAAACATTTCTGCCGTGATCTTCGATGGGAGGAGCATGTCTCCGGCACGAGCGAGCCCCACTACCTTTTCTCCTCTGCTCCTCCCCGCTTCGGCCACACAAATGCTCTCCAGGTTCCTCATCTTCGCAAACGTGGCCAACACCGAAGATGAGACGGCACACGGCGCAAGGACCACGCGACGAAGTCGAGGTAGATGCTCGAAAAGACGGCACAGATCATCCCTGAACTCGAAAAGGCGGGAGTCGCCGTCGACGTAAAGTACCTCGATATTCGGGGAATGTAGCCAAATGAGGTCAATCTTGGCCTGAACGGACTCCTTTTCGCGAGAGCGAACGTCTTTATTGATCCACAAAGTCATCTCCCGAATCGAAGGGGACAGATAAGCACGTTGTAGATTGTGGGCGTGGGCACGAAGGGACGATAAATTCGGGAAGATGCTTGTAATGCCCCACGTTGACATCAACTGCGTCGACTCCGAACACAAGCGAACCCCATCCGAAGAACCATCCGCGTCAACACAATGTACACGTCCGCAAAGGTTGATAAAGCCTTCCCATTCAGATGGAACGAGATCGGAAGCAAGCTTCTACAACCTCGTCAGGATCCTTATACCAACAGGCTAACGGACGAGAACTCACCACAACCCCAGATTCAGTCACAACTGTTCCTCGGAGGGCTCGAAATACCGACAAGTCCACGCGACCCCATATCCTAGGGATCGCATACGTCGCCCATATCTTACAAACCAACGCATTTTGAATGTTCGACTTTCTTCCTGTGAGTCCAAACAGGGAAGTGAGGACTTCAACGGTGCCCAACGCACGACGACAAGACATCTACAGAGATGAGATACGCATGAGGAAAACATCGTAAGTGAAAGCAAGAACCTCACCTTCATTAAAGAGAACGAAAAGACAATCCAAAGGTGAGCAGAACGACTCCGACCATCGTAGGCCTTTTCAGCAGTCGCCCCAAAGAAACGCCGTGTGCTACGCGTGCCACATGCCATTCATTACACAACTCCAAAAAGAAAAAGCCATCATTCATCAACCAAATCGAGATAAACCGCACATAGGCAATCATTCGGGAGCATTCGACATCGCTCACAAACGCCAGGAACGGATGAGACCACGTACCCTGTATCGCCAAATCTCCCCCACCCCAAGGGTCTCTGCCCATGACCACAGCACTCAAACTAAAACTCAACAACGGCAAAAAAGCAACTAATCACTCCACAAATGCACTGCGCACGGCCTTCCAAGAAGTAACAACCGAACGAACCATTCGAACTATGATTAGAACGGAACAACCAACGAGAAAAAGAAAGCTAAACCGAAAAAGAGAACAGGTCAGAATCGGCTCACTATAAGAAGTAATCGCACCTAAACCGAAGCTGAGAACACCGAACAGAGAATATTTCGCACTTGACAGGCGTCCTCACTTGAGCAATGAAGCGCCACAAGCGCCACAACACACTTGTCTAAATCAGGTAACATCACGCGAGAAAAACATGAAAGTTTCATCAGTGACGTCATGCAAGGATCACAACAAAAACCAAAGCCATCTCAACGAAAAGTAAGTCCCGTCCCCCCTCCCCCACCTAACCTGTCGAACGCATATGAAAATCCTACCAAAAAGATCTGCCCTCACAGTATATATACTAGCATAACACACAGAACCTCTCGTGGTATCACAGACCGGTCGCGGTACAATAAAACCTCGTAGAGGTAGAAAACGAAGCGACCTACTTGAGGTAACAATAAACAGACCGGTCACGGTAGGAAAAAAAAAACCTCTTAGAGGTAGAGAAATCAAACAACGTAAAGAGGAAAACCTGAGCTACTCGTCGACGACAAACGACACACAAAAAAGATAGAGAAAAGCCAAAGTAGTTGGTGCTCGTTGTTATTGCTGGTAACGCATTGGGCAAGAGAGTGAGAGAGTGAGAAAGAAGAAAGGCCCGACGAGTAAAGTAAAGGCAGAAGAAGGGCCACCACCGTCACGAAGTGCCACACGTAACACAACAGTCACAACCATCGTTCTGTCACAACCCAGAAAATTCTCGCAGGTTCGGTCCCACATAACCCTACTATCACCGTAAAGTGATAGTTGGGAAAATAACGGTCTTGCTGCTCCCTCTATTCATACTCTTGGATATCTGGAACCGAATGAGTTCGGAAAGATGGCGCTATTAGGTGCTAACTGTGAGCTCCGTATATCAGCTCTTCGACAGCCTTCGACCCCGACAAGAACAGGCCACGTCTAAACGCGTTGATCTGCGAGTGTGGCTTCTTGATCCCTTTCGCGAAATTCCAAATCCTCGTCAAAACAGGCCTGACGAGCTATGTACGCGAAGAGTATCAGGAAGCGTAAGGGGCGGGCAAGATGGATTGGACGATAGAGTATTCACTCGAGTACGTCTTTCTCTCAAATTCCTCATCTGCAGTGTTCTAAGCATACGGCCTTCCTCAGTATCGTTAGGTTAGGTTATGAGACAAAAAACAGGACGTAGGTAGCTAGGGTAGGGTTACCTGGGCTCGAAACCTAACCCTATATTAGGGTTTGGCC